TATATATATATATATATATATATATATATATATATATATATATATATATATATATATATATATATATATATATATATATATGTATATATATATATATATATATATATATATATATATATATATATATATATATATATAAATATTGGGAGTTAATTCATGCGGTATATATATATATATATATATATATATATATATATATATATATATATATATATATATATATATATATATATATATATATACAGTAGCTTTCATAAATTTAGACGCATTCATTTTTTTTTTTAATATATGTAAGAAAATACTCAAAATAAAAATAAAATAAAAGTGCTACTGCTATGTTTGATATATAATTTAAAAGAGGAAATGAAACTCTATTATAGAGTACCTTAATTTTTTTTACAGGATGTTTATTACTCATTTTATACCGATTAACACAAAAAAGTTAATTGATAAACTTGATTTTATTTTGTTCATAAATTTAGACGCACAATTAAAAAAGTCTTTTATCTTGTTAATTAATAGTTAATTAGTAGTTTTTTTCTTATATTTCTTATTAATAGACCTAAATTAATTGACTTTGTCAAAAAACCTTATATAAATATGACTTACCTGGAATTATTTAATCATTATTTAATAAATAAACAAAAGTTAAGTTAGTTTTGCACTAAAAAAACGTAAAAAATGGGCTAAAGACGTATCACCCAAGGTGAAAGATGGCAAATTATTGCGCACATCAAAGAAGGAACCAAAAGTAATAGAGAAATCGCCAAGTTAATTGGAGTTTCTGAGAAATGCATTCGGACAACGAAACAAAACTTTCTTCACACTGGTGGTGCCAGCGAAAAAACGAGGCCAGGTAGACCCTTGTCAACCACGAGAAAGGACGATAGTGTTCTTTTTAGAGCTGTCAGAGCTAATCCAAGAATTAGTTACAAAGAATTGACCACAGAATTCAATACAACGCGAAATACATCTATTTCTCAAAGCACAGTCCGCCGAATACTTATCAGATACAAGATTGGAGTCTACACTGCTTTGAAGAAACCGCTTCTGCGTCCATATGATAAACAAAGGAGACTAAAATGGTGTCGTGAAAGAAGGTATTGGACAATAGATCAATGGGAAAACATTATGTGGAGTGATGAGAGTAAATTTGAGCTTATCAATCGCAAATCTAACATAACAGTCAAAAGAATGGCTCACGAAAAGTATTACGCCAGGTACATTAGACCAACTGTACAAAGTGGAGGAGGCTCGATAGGAATCTGGTCATGCTTCAATTACAAAGGTGTTGGTATGTGCCAAACATACACCGGAAGAATCAACTCCAGAATATACGTAGAAGTACTGGAAAACAACCTAACTCCATCAATTGCTTATGCTCAATGATAAACCATGGAAACTTCAACAAGATAGCGCTACTGCATATACTGCATACTATACAAAGGAGTGGTTCAACGATAATAATATTATGACAATACCGTGGCCTCCATATTCACCTGATTTGAACCCGATTGAAAATATTTGGGCTTGGATTGATCGTGAATTAGCAAAGGTTCAAATTTCCACACTTGGTCAGCTGAAGGAATTCCTTAAGGAGACCTGGTATGGGGTCCCAGAAGCGATGTGCAAAAATCTTGTTGAGTCTATGCCTAGAAGAGTTCTTAGTTGTATTAAAGCAAAAGGCGGATACACAAAATATTGATTGGTTCATAAATTACGCCTTCTAATGTATCGTGCGTCTAAATTTATGAATAATATTTTTTGTCTAATTTTTTTAATACCATGTAGTTGTACCTAATTATTACTTAGTATTTCATTTTTTTTGTAAACTTTTTTTAAATTTTGTATTCTGTATGTATTTATCTGATAAATAGAAAAAAAACTAAACCGAAATCTTTTTTCGTCATTGTTTTATCGTTAAAATACCTAAAATTTTCTATTCTCAAATATGAGTGCGTCTAAATTTATGAAAACCACTGTATAAATATAAAAGCCTATATATATATATATATATATATATATATATATATATATATATATATATATATATATATATATATATATATATATATATATATATATATATATATATATATATATATACAGAAAGAGTGCGATTTCAGGGCTTTATATGACCACACAAATAATATTTTGTTTTGACAATTTAACTATGGTTTTCAACAAATGCGCTGAAAAAATTGTTTTTTAATTAGGTTGAAAATTTCGATACGCTTATCTATACTAACGCTTTTATATTACCAGAATGCTTTTAAATAAAGTAACTAATGATTTTAATTGAAGTATCATAGAAAGTTGTATAAATTTTTATTTATAATATTTAATTATATAAGACTTTTTAATAAGTATCCTTTTTTTATAAGTATCCCCTTTTTTAACTTTTAACTTTTTTATAAGTATCCCCTTAAGACTTTTTTATAAGTATCCCTAACATCTGTTATTTGTAAAATGTTCGAAAAGCTCATTCGGGACACAATTCTGCAACATTTAGTTTCAAATAGACTTATATGTGAGGAGCAAACTGGTTTTGTTCCAAACAAATCATGCACAACAAATCTTATTGAGACAATTGACACAATTACATTTGAAACTGCAAAAGGTAAACCGTTATGCGTCATATATCTTGACTTCGCAAAGGCTTTTGATAAAGTAGAACACAAAAGATTATTGACAAAGATTAAAGCGTATGGTATAACTGGTAAAATATATAACTGGATTGAAAGTTTTCTTGCAAATAGGAAACAAAGAGTTGCTATTAGTAATACAGTTTCAGAATGGGTATCAGTTACCAGTGGCGTGCCTCAGGGTTCCGTTTTGGGTCCAATGTTGTTTCTACTATTCATAAATGACCTCCCAGAAGTTGTGCTAAACACATTTAAAATGTATGCTGATGATAGCAAAATAATAGCCATAGAAGATTCCATTGATAAACAAGCGGAAATACAAACCGACCTTGACAACATTGTGAAATGGTGCAACAATTGGGGTATGGAACTAAACTGCAAAAAATGTAAGGTGATGAGATTCGGCAATCAGAAAGTTTTTCAAGGTATTGATAAAACATACACAATGAATATAAATGGAATGATTTATGACCTCTCAAACAGTGTATTAGAAAGAGATCTAGGTGTCTTTGTACAACCGGATATGAGGTGGAAGCATCAAACGCAAGTATGTGTTAACAAAGCTTCAAAAATACTGGGGTTATTGAAAAATGCCTTTGAAAGTAGAGATTGTTATATGTGGAAAATTTTGTATACTACTTATGTGCGACCTCATCTTGAAGTTGCGGCTCCAGCGTGGAGTCCTCCGAATGTGGCCGAAATCTCAATGCTTGAAAGAGTTCAACGTAGGGCCACAAAAATACCATACTCAAACCGAATGCTAAGTTATGAGAAACGGCTAGTTAAAATGGATTTAATTAATTTAAATCTCAGAAGAAAACGAGGAGACCTTATTCATTTATATAAGATATTAAACAATCTAGAATTTGTCAATCTTAATGTCAAACCAGTCTTTTAATTAAAGGTAAATACAACTTTTAATTAAAGGTAAATACAACTTTTAATTAAAGGTAAATACAACTTTTAATTAAAGGTAAATACAACTTTTAATTAAAGGTAAATACAACTTTTAATTAAAGGTAAATACAACTTTTAATTAAAGGTAAATACAACTTTTAATTAAAGGTAAATACAACTTTTAATTAAAGGTAAATACAACTTTTAATTAAAGGTAAATACAACTTTTAATTAAAGGTAAATACAACTTTTAATTAAAGGTAAATACAACTTTTAATTAAAGTTAAATACAACTTTTAATTATAGGTAAATACAACTTTTAATTAAAGGTAAATACAACTTTTAATTAAAGGTAAATACAACTTTTAATTAAAGGTAAATACAACTTTTAATTAAAGGTAAATACAACTTTTAATTAAAGGTAAATACAACTTTTAATTAAAGGTAAATACAACTTTTAATTAAAGGTAAATACAACTTTTAATTAAAGTTAAATACAACTTTTAATTAAAGGTAAATACAACTTTTAAAGCTTTAAAAAAGTTTTTTAAAAAGACTTCTTTTAAGAAGTCTTTTTTAAAAACTAACCCATAAACATGGGTTAATTTTTTAAAAAATTAATGTGTTGCATTTTCAATAATCAAATGCATAAACAATAAAATATAAAAATAATATTGTTAATAAAAAAATTTTGTTAAATACTGTAAGTCATTAGTTACGGTATTTAACAATGCGTTTGTCGAGACATTTGTAATGCTAATTATATTCGTTTATTTTAATTGTAAAATAGATTCATCTTAATTTGTTACTATTTTTTTGTAAAGAATACATTTGTTTTTATCGATTGACCAAGCAAAGTGGGTAACATACCAGTTACTAGATGATCTACAGTAAAGTTTCCTATATTTTTCTCATTATTTTATTTTAGAAATATACCATATCTTAGCATATCTTTAGCTGTTAGAAGCTCAGATGTATACAGTTCTTTTCCATTCTAAAAGTTTGCTCATTTTAACTGATTATGCATTTCTCGTACTTTTTTACATTTTTAATAAACAAAATATGTTTACTGGCACTTTCCTTTTGGTCAGACTATGAAGTATTTATTACTTTTGAAAGAAAAAATGGCTACCAACAGATTACTGTTAATAACCAAAATAAGTAAAATTAAAATCAAAATTTAGCTAGAACTGAAATAACATCATTTTTGAAAGTATCACTTTTTTAAAAAAATGTTATACTTTTTCAAAATCTTTTTTCTTAATTTGAAAAAATATATTTTATCTAAAAAATCTACACATCTTAATAATATGGGGCTGTAAAGATAATAATGTTATAAATGTTACACAAAAAGAAAATCTAAAAGAAAATTAATAAACACAAAGGAAATCTAAATAAAAAAAAATAAAAATTTTAATTATTTAATAAATAAAAAATAAAATAAAACAAAAAACTTACTTTGCAGCTTATTCTAATACTGTCTTGTAAAAAATTATTTTCTTTAGGCTTAAATTCAATAAGAATCTTACGAGACATTCCAGGGTAAAGCTTGTGCTAAGTGATGAAAAATAATTTTCACAACAAAAAACATAGTAATACTAATTAGCAGGAATCATAACAATTGTATACATATAAAAAAGATAACTTTTATTTAGAAAATCCTAAACTACCTTATTCTCATGCTTAATGTTAAATTCTTTACAGATGGGTGCAAAAATGTGGACTCTTTGACATTCTTGAGAAACATTGATAACAGTCTTTAAAAAAAATTATAACAAAAAAAAATTCAATTGAAAATATATTTCACTCAATATTTTGTTGATTTGCTTAACTAAATTTATTAAAAACTAAACTGGATAAAACAAATTATATTTTTAATTTAAAGTTTATTGACTGTCATTATTGGTTATTATGTTCATCAGTTTCTAACATGATAAAATATAATAACTAATAATGGTTGTTTATTATAATTTATCAAATTTAACCTATAACAGTGTTGGAAAATGCCTGCATTGCTTAAAAACTTTTAAGATAATTTTAACTATTCTAAATTTAGCACAACTGATTTTCTTACTATAATTATCAAAATTTTTTGATCTGACTAAGGAACCTCTAATATCTCAACTTAAGTTTAACAACTTACACATTTTTTTTTTAAATAACAAAAGAAGGAAATGGGTTAGTACAAGAAAGATTCTTATTTTAAGGGTAATTTTTCTAAAAATAGTTTATTATTTCTAAAAGTTTCTTAAAATTTTCTTAAATTTAAATTTTCTTAAATTTAAATTTCAGATTACTAAAAGATCAAAAAAGTGAATAAAATACAATTTGAATACAAGTTTTCTTTTTTTTTTTTTTTTAATAAGAAACCAAACAGATTTGAATACAAATTATAAGTAATATAACCTTTGGTTTGTCCTTAAACAGAACACAATATTCTTCAAATTTTGTGTTATATCACGTATTGGTAGAACTGTATCATAATTCTACCAATGTACCACTGTTAGTAATATACACGAGTCTCCTGATTAACCAAATAATTTTCAAAAACCTGGTCTTTAGGGTCATCCACTTGTCATCTAAATCAACCTCTGTTGTTTCTGACTCTTCTTTTGTTAACATGTATTTGGGCTTTTCGGCAGGTATTGGTGGAGCACGTTGAATGGGTTCTTGACTAGTTTTCATCAACAAAAGGGGTGGTGCAACATAATTCGCAAAACCTACTGTATTTATTTTATAAACTTCCATTCAATCTACTGTAATCAAGCATACAGTTTTTTTAAACTTCTCCACCAAGTTTGTGCATACTCACCCATTATTTAGTGATAAGCCTCTTCTACCCGATGGGTAATTAAATCCTTCACACTTTAACATTCAGTTTTCTTTTGGTGTTTCCCATCCAAAATTCAAGGTTATTATCGTTACCAACCACTCTTTTTCATTATTTGCAACAGCTCGTTTGGAAATCTAACCTATGGAACAATCTACAGTTTGCCATATATGCGTAGCACCAGATACACCATACCAAACTAATCCTTTTTTTTTTTTGCGCAGAGGTGAAGTCAGACATATTGATTTTACTTCTGCACGAAATAATTCACTAGTTGTACAGCTAGATTTTTTTTTTAAATCACCCCCAACCAAACTTTCAGACAAAATACAAACTTGGTTTGTATTTCATCTGAGAAATACAAGTTTGTATTTTTTATAGGATAAGTGAAATACAAACTTGAAGAGTATATTGTCTTTTGCATAGACCTAACTCTGGCTGGCTTACCCAAGTTCTATAATCTTTGCGTTCGGTATGATTATATCATAGGTTTTCTTCTGATCTACTATGAACAGCATGGGTACTTGATCAATGTTGAACTGACGGCTAGGTGCAAATCTGCCCCATTTGGAATGGTATGATGATTTTTTACTACTTGATTTTATAATACCTTTGCATAGTTGTGTATGAAAATTTATTAATTCCAGCAAGTATTTGCTTCTATAAACCTGCTTATTTTGTTGCATGCATCTTAACTTGATTTTGTAAAGTTGAATAAATCTAGTCATTGTGTTTTTAGGAATTTTCCCAGCATTTAGATGTATTTGACTGAGTATCTTATTTGCATTTACGTAAAACCATGTGAATGAAACTTTCAACCCTCTCATTTGTGCACCAACAAACTTTTCATTCAGCTTTAGGAAAACATATTATTTTTTATTCATTTTTTATGTTTAATAACAGCAGCATCAATTATAAAACGGTGATTGTTTTTCCATTTAGTAATTAAGGATTTGTCACATTCCGTGATTACTTTGCATTTAAAATGATTGGCCTATGATCACCATCTGTCTGCACCGCAGCAACCCTTTGTTTTTTTGACAATGGGAACAAATTTTAAGTTTTTTATAAACTTTTTCAACACAGTTTTAAGTTTTTTAATCTAACAAACTTCTTCAATCAGGGTCATATATCTTTATCAGAGCTACAATCATATTTATTGTTGATTAGGCTAATAAAGTATAGGCATTTTTCAACTTTAGTTTAAGAAAGAAGTTTTCATATAACTTACCTTTTTGAATATTTTCTAAATGGCCTAGGCCTGGTGTAGAAGCCTGGCCTGATTTTCAAAAATACTCCAATATAATATAAAACTTTTAAAGTTTTCCAAAAAAACCAAGTAAATTAGATAGTCAACCAGCTGTAATTTTATGTTTTCTGTAATCATGCCACAATTTTGTGTTTTATGTGTTTATGTAATTAATATCACAATGTTTTGGAGTCATGTGGTTACTAAGGTCAATACTACCAGTATCAAAACGCTCTCTGTTAATGAGAGATATGCTCTCTGTTAATGAGAGATATGTCTTTTAAATCGTTATAAGTGCTTTGTACATCAGTATTTTCAGTGTTATTTAGGATGATATTTGTGACACTTTTGGTATTATTTTTAAAAGTCTAATTTTTCCTCAATTATTATTATCATTTGAATCTTCTGTGAGTTTATTAATATAGAAGTCAATTTTTTCAATTTTAGTGTTACCTATGTGAAGTATGATTAAATCAAATAATTTAAACAAATATAATCTTATAAAACAAAGGCAGTTCTTTATGACTATTTATAATGTAAATGTTGACAGGCAGATGATTTGCGTTCAAGTTTCAATTTCATCAGTACAAAATAAAAATGTTACAGCTAAACCGCCATTTTATAAAAGTGTTATTTCAATTTTTAAACAATTAATTATACATCTTTTAAACAATAGTTTAGTTCTGGATCTGCTGATATAGCAATTATGTCATCTCTTTTTTTTCATTTTTTAAGGACTCTGTTAATTTTAAAAAAATGGTTACATTTTGTAACTGTTCTGTGCAAGATAGAGCCTAAATCTTTTCTTTTATAGTTTTCATTGTAGCTAGTATTTTATTATTACTGTATTTTAAAAAACACAAAAGTGAAGGTAAGCAAAAAAAAAACAACTAGAACTAATAGGACAACTGCAATGGTCTATTTCAGGATTAAATCAATCAAAAAGTAAAACAACTGATCTCAAATAGGCACTTTATAAATTATATTTTTAGAATTAATGCATGCAACATTTAACCAGGTAAATATTTTAACTTTGTAGCATTCTGTATGCTTTTTCAGGAAGTCCGCAGTTCCCTTCCTTTTTATAGTCACAATATCTGTAAATGACATCACAATTTCACTAATTTTCTTATCGTAAAATATCTTATTTGATGACCATTCAGTTTTAATTTTAGGTAATTTAAGTGAGACTATTGAAAATACTGGTTTGCTATTCAATAACAATATTCAATAGCCTATTAGGCTTCAGTTTATTTTATAGCTTTAAATAACATATATAGATTTGCATTCTGTTTTGTAATTCGTCGAAAGTACTACATAAGACTTTTGTCTATCATTTTTAATCATTTATATTTTTAATTATGATGAATTAGGAACTAATAGCAGCAGCAACAGCATCGTTAAGTTAATTTTTTTAATAACAAAGCTACCATCTTTACTTTTTTCCCTACATTGAATTAATTTTGAGACCAGGTCTCTGAAAAGAATAAGGCTAATGTATTATTATAACTATAACCTAGTTCTTTGTTTACTCTTAAAATTTCTAATGCATAGCATTATTTATACCTAATTAAACTTTCGATAATAAATTTTTTTTTTTGTTCACTTAATGTTTATGATTTTCATAAATACTCTCATAAAGGACTGCTCAAAGCTAGTTTAAGAGCCTGGGGCAAAACTAAATTGTGAAGCTCCAAAATTTAAATGACATCTACACAATCACATTGTAAATATGACTATAGTGACTTTTTGATATATGTAGAAAGTATTTAAGTCTCATTGGGGTCTGGGAGTAGATAGAATTAAATCATTGGGGTCTAGGAATAGATTGTCCCATTGTCGATTGCCCCTCTCTAATATTGCTTTGCTCCATTATTATTTAGATAATATTATATTTAAAAATAGAAAGCAAATATATATTACTTTAATATTTATTTCTTACTATTACTATTTATTTCAAAAAAATAAATTATTCCCATACTTTGACCAAATCGACCTTTAGTCAACTTAGTCAATTTCAAAAATGTTTTTGTTGATTTTTGTCGACTCTAAAAAACATTATTTAATAGTCGTAACAACACCTGACTTGTTAAATATAACAAAAAGATTCTACTGTGTATTAAATAAAATCAGTGAAACAAAAGATATTGGTTTTTACATGTCAAAGATTTTTGATAAAGTCTGTCATGCTGTTGTTCTCCATAAAATCTCTTTATATAGTACTTCTTCAAAAACTTATAAAATTATCAAATCATTCCTTTCTAATTGCAGTAAGATTTTTGATAAAGTCTGTCATGCTGTTTCTCTCCATAAGCTATCTTTATATAGTAATTCTTTAAAAATTTATAAAATGATCAAATCATTCCTTTCTAACAGCAGTATTAAAGTCATCCTTGATGAAAAATATTATTCTTTATTTTTAGTGACTTCTGGAGTTTTACAGAGCTCTATCCTTGGTTCTGTGTTGTTTCTTATCTATTTTAATGATCTCTTTGAAAAAAATGACCTCCAAAGTATATACTCCAGCCTGAAAAAAGTCATTACTTTTTGATTACCTAGAACAGGAATTTGCCACAGGAAACATTGGCAGAAGATGTCTCCTGTGGCAGTTTGAGGCTCACAATGATTGGTGAACTATAAACCAAAAAAATTAGTTGCTTACTAGTAATATTGATATGTTTTTTATTTCAATGTTGTTCATATTCTGAGCAATATAGTAACAATTAGTAATTAAGATTGATAAATAGCAACACTCATCAATCTGAATCTTCTATTTGAGTCTTTTCCGATCATTTTTCTGACCTATTTCAGGAATTATACACAATTCATTAAATAATTAATCTGCTAAAATTGGCTCTTTTTTTCCATTTTCTTTCTCCTGAATTCATCTCTTTAATTTATTTTTCATATTTGGGCTGGTTTCTCAAGCGCTAGTGCTTCGAAGCTCTTTCCTGCCTTTACAGTTTCCTGACTTTTCTTTGCTTTCTAGACTTTTCATGACTACAATGTACAACTTTTTTGGTCTTCTGCCAAGTGCTCTTTATACCCCCTTTTTTTTTTTTGCTTGCTGGTAAATTTTTTAAATTTTACTTCATCCCTCTTTTTTTTGCTTGCTTTCTACATTGATTAGTGCTTGCTTGCAGTCTTGTTTGGAGTGAATTTGTTAGTGTAACTGTGTTATGTATTTTGTGTAAAACTCTTGTTTCTAACAAATCAAATAACTAATTGTTACTATATTGTTTTTTTTTGTTTGTTTTTTGTTTATAGAACTATAGGATTGGTTTAGATTTTGTTTATAGAATTATAGGATTGGTTTAGAGTCAGAACGTTAATAACTTTATTAACGTTCTGACTCTAAACCAATCCTATATTCGAGCAAGTAAGACTTTTTAGCTCTACAAGAAAAATTACCTAATGAAAGAAAAATACTGATATAAAACCCCTAACTTACTTGTGGAGGAGCAGAAAAGTAGGAAGATTTCATTAATTTTAAACAATAACCTTTTTAGTCATAGTATAACAATAAGGGTTATCCTGCAGTTAAGCAACGTAGAATAAATTTATTACTTAGCTTTTTACGTTCTTGTCCATAGAGATTTTTTTAATTATCTATAAAATATTTTAAAAATGCTTATAAAATGTTTATAAAACATTTTTTTAAATAATATTTTAAGTTCTATGTTTAATTATTTTCAGAAATGATTACTAATTAATTCTTTTTAGTTACAACAATTTCAATTTAACTTCACCACCATAGAGTTTATTTAAACTAATAAATTAAATGATTTGCTGCTTAACAGCAGGATAAGTCAATAAAAATACTCAGTCCAACAAGTTGCTTCAACTAACTAACTTCCATAATACCATACTTAAACAAAAAAAATGCCATTGTGGAAACTTGTTCAAATTGCACAAGTGTTAAGTAAATAAACTTTAAAAAAACAAACTAATGTCATCATTATAGCTAAGTGCTAAATTAATACTTAATTAGTAGTTCAGTTATTTTTTAATTCATATTAACAATCAATTAATAGTAATCCTACAGTTAAGCGACCTAAAATAATTTTATTTTTTCGCTTGTGCTATTGTCAGTGGAGACTTTTTGAACATAAGGAATATTTATTAGAACAATAAAAGAAAAAAGATTGCTGCCCTACGCCAAACCCTCAATTGATATAGCAACATACTCTTTTGCAGCAGCAGGCTCTATGTTAGAGGATGTTTGTACTGAAGCCAATAAATATTCCTAATGTTTAAATAGTCTTCACTGTGGAGAGCGCAACAAGCAAAAAATTAAAATCGCTTTAAACAACCTAATTTTAGTTTTACCCAATTAGTATTTGAACTATTTTGAAAACAACTTGAAATGTAGTAATTAATTCATTAATCTATTACCTGCTTGATTTTTTTACAAAAATATAAACCTATATAAAAAACTTATAAAAAAAATATACTTATATATACAATTGATATTAAGTAAACTATATTTTAATCTTAAAAAACTCACAAGAATTTGACAATATCTAGCACCAAGTTCAAATCCGTGAAAAAAAATAGATTGAGGATTTACTTTAAGGACGTCGTTTCTACCAGTTAATCTGTATTTCTCTAGAATATTTTTTCTTCATTTATAAAAAAATTATTTAATTATTTATACAAAAAGATATTTTATATAACAATAAAAAAACTTAAACTTATACAGTTTGTGTAAAAAGATAAAAACATTATAATAATTTTAATAAAGTCTAAAAATAGTTCTGAAAATAATTTCATAACCTAATTATTTTATAAATAAAAAATACATGACCTTAATAAAACTCATTAACTTTAAAAAAAAACTAAATACTAACGTATGTCTTCAATTCGATTATTAACTACCGATTTCTCAGAAGTTGAAATGCAATGTAAGGATGAATTTATATTATATTCAGGATAGTTTCCTACTCCTACGTTTATCGCCATCTTTGTTTATCGTTGCCTGGTTTTTTTTAAAACAAAGGTGCAAAATTAAATAGTAGGGCATCAGAGGCGTATCCAATGAATTTTCATTAAAACAAACGAGTTTAGCAGCCATCTTTTGTAAATAAGTAGACGTTTTTCGATAAAATAAAACTTTTATTAAATAAAACTTTATTAAAATTTAATAGGGAAGAGTGGAGTGTGGGGTTTTAGATGTGACGCAGTGGAGGATTCAGCATATGGTGTTGAGGAGAGGAGAAGAAAGGGTGGGGCGGGAGGGGGAGGGTGTAAAGGGGAGGTGTGGAGTTAGCTACCCCCGCGCTCCCATAGGTCAGTAACTGGCGCCACCTAAAATATAAGTTTCTCATTACAAAATTCTGCGTTTAGACTTGGTAATAAAAAATCATCATTTACATCGCTGCTTTACAAATTTGCTAGCATTAATAGCAGAAAACAAAACGGAGATGTTTTGTTTAAAGAAAATATCTCTTATAATTATAATGTATGCAGTCTATTTTTAACACAGTTTGGCGTATCAAAACTACCGTGACTGTAAAGTGACAGATGTTCATATAACTACAAAGTTCAAAAAACTTTAAACCACTTTTTTTTATAGAGAAAAACAAAAAATTATAAATTAACTGATTTCAACATTGTCGAACAATTAATTTTTTTTTTATGAGTTAAAAGTTAAATTGCTGATTGTGAAAATTTATTGTGTCAAGTTGATGATTGCGCCCCCCCCCTCCCATCATTTCAAAACCCGTGTCGTCGGCCCTGGGTACTCTCTTCCCACTTAAACCTACTCGCGCTGGCCCTACTTTCAAAGATGTGTATCCATCAATATCTCCAGCAATGACAACTGAACTACAAAAAAGGACGTACATTCATTCTTAATAGAGAAATAGATGACATCATGTTTTTCAAACTAGTCTATACTCTACAAATTCGACTTGACTCATCCGTTTACATCAACTTATTATGAAAGTAGTTTCAGTAGACTAAAGATCAAAAATTATCTGTGATCATCAATAACAAAAAAATATCTTTTCGTAATGACATTAATTTTAATGGATTGTGAGCTTGCTGAGAGTTTTAACTTTAAATAATCAATACATTATTATGCTTTAACCCAGTCTGTAAGACGTCTATACAACGTCTTAAAGATATTACAAGTCCATATAGTGTTCTAAATATGTATAAAAAATGTTCTGTATTTGCTGAAAATTAAATCTTGCAAAAAATTTTTTATAAACTACCAAGAAAGAAAATATAGTGTAAATATACTTTTAAATAACCAAACCATAGCATTAATATTAATTTTTTTTTTTTTTTTTTCAACGATAATTGTTAACCAAAGTATTCTTAACAAACTCAAACTTTAGTTTTTGCCAACCAAAACTCGTATCACCCTTTTCTTCTTCCTAGCCCCCTCTTCCTCCCCAAGATGCTAAACCTCAATCCGCCACTGATAAAAGGCTAACCGTGTCAGACCGTGTCACATCCTAACTCCCTCCCTTGAAAAGTCATGATTTCTGAGTTCAAGGAAAATGCGAGGAAGAAGAAACTTCTTTTTCTGTTTTCAAAATCTTATTAAATCTGATGCACGTACAACTCAATGAATGATATGTTTCCGTAACATTATTCGAAGTCTGTACTGCATTTGTCAATACCATTGTATCAACTTCATCAGATAACATGCACCATAAACTAGTAATGTACTCTTCAGTTTTGACACAAGAATTCAACATTTTATCATGCAATGACTTTTCATAAAAATCAACAAAAGATTTGAGCAAAGTGACATTGTATTTTGTCTTTAAAATCTTACCCTTTTGGTTAACCAAGCAGCTCAGGTTGTTTTTAGAAATGGAATGAACTATGGACCAAGCCATTTAAATGAAACTTTTCCTCCCTTTTTTTTTCTATTCTTTTTTGATTTTTCAAAAGGACTTTTTGACCAACTCCGATCAAAAGAGGTACTTGATGACGTTTATTTATGTCTTTCCGCTGTTTATTTTCAGCAGTTTGAATATTCTTGTATGCACTTTTGTAAATTTCTTCTCTTAAAGTAATAGATGAGACAAGAGCTGCATCAAAAGTTTCTCTATCAAAAGGTTCCATTTCATGTTCTTTAATATCAACTAATCCATATTTAATATCTACAGGTAAAATTGGTTCTCGGCAGATTCAAAGTTCGCAGTTCATTCAGCAGCTGTTTTATCGAGTAATTTAAAACTAATGCTTATTTTATAGCTCTATTCTGACGTTCACACAGTCCATTAGATTAAGGATGATAAGCAGAAGTTACCTTTTGTTCAGTTCCTGTCATGCAGATTTTTGCTGACTTCATTCATAAACTCTCTTCCTTGATCATTAATTTTAATTTTATTGCACTCATGTTGACAGATTACTTCATATAAGAAGAGTGCTATTGATTCAGCTGTTTTATTTTTATAAGGCTTTGCTTCTGACCATTTTGTAAAATAGTCTATACAGACAACTAAATGTTTAAAGCCATGAACTTCTGGCAAGTTACAAATATCAATACCAACTTGTTCCATGGCTTTACTTTTAACTGGTATAGAATGAAGTTCTGTAGAGACGCTTTTAATTTTACCATGTTTTTGACATTGTATACATTTTTTAATAAGTTCTTCAACATCAAATTTAATATTATGCTAATAGAACCTGTTAGAAATTTTTTTTATATGTTGTATCTTATCCACGATGTGAAGCCATTGCTTTTACTTTTGCGTCTTCACTAAGACCAGAATGAGAGTCAGATATTATCTTTTGTTGTTGATCTTTACAAGCAATAACTAACATTTCACTGCGGTACATTAATTAGCCAAATACAATGGTAAAATGTTTGCAAGCTTTTCGAAGGTTAGGTTTTTTCCCTTTATCACCACGAATTTCTTGAGGGTAAATTTTTTCCTTTACATAGTTTTGTATTGTTATAAAATCAATATGTCGTACCATTTTTATTTTAAAAAAAAGTATGGAACAATAATGTTGTAAAATTGAACATGAAAATAAAAACATGATAGAGGTTTTGTTTACATACATTCAGAATATTGAGTTTATTAAATAGTGTTTGTGTGTGAGAAACGATCTACGTTTGAAACTATCCTTATAGTCTGTTTTTGTTTGCCTAGCAACTTATTTGTTTATCGCCGCGTTAGTGCTACACCAAGCAATTTTCGCATTACTTAAGTAGCAATCAATAAAAGAAAAGAAAATATTTTTTAAACAAAATCAATTTAATAACTGCTTAGCATTGAACATTATGCCTCAACTTTTCGATAATTTATTTTCAACTACACCTACAGTATTGGACAAAACATTTGCAACCAACATCGAATAATGCTAAAAAGTGTTCCTAATTTTACATGTCTTAAAAACGAAACGAACTATACTACCACAGCAAACAGTTTAAGGCGTCTGGAGTTATAACATGCCATGACATGAGCAATCAGCTGACAGGTGACAGCACACAGGTAGAATTTCGTTGACAAAAGCCATTTTGCAGCGGACAAAACAAGTGCAACGTTTTTGGTTTGTTTCATTTTCTTAAGTCTGGTCCGTGTCAATGTTACGGAAGTTTTTTAATAATTAAAAAAAGTATCCAGACGTTGTATTCCACAGAGCATTATTGTATCATCACAAGGTAAATGTAACAAAGTAAGCCTTGAGAAACGTGATTATTTATTTTTATGACTTCAAGTGCAAAAATGGCTCCCGACAGTCTTGGATTGGAACTAAGAAAGAAAATTATTGGCGATTACGTAAGTGGAATGTCACAAAAAAGTATTTGTGATAAATATCGCGTGAAAGAATGGACCGTATCAAGACTATGTTCCAAATATCGTTCTACGGGGAAGTTGGAAGAAGATAACAAAGGTGGAAGACCGCGTTCCACCACTTCTAGAGAGGATTCTATGATCGCCAGATCCGTCAAGAAGAATCCCTGGATATCAACAGTCGAGATACAAAAGTAATTAGAGCTGCCTGTATCGGACCGAACAATCAGACGACATGCTGTTGAAGCCGGATTGTTTTCTCAACGCCCTGCAAACAAACCGCTGATTTCACTAAGAAAAGACTCCTGTTTGCTACATCCCATATTAACTAGAATGTGCAGAAATAGCGAACTGTCTTGTTCAGTGATGAATTGAAGTTCAACATCATTGAGAGCGATGGCATTTGCTGTGTACGTCGACCGGCCGGAAAACGCCTCGATTTACGTTACTGCCATAAAACCGTCAAGCATGGTGGAGGCAATGTAATGGTCTGGGGGTGTTTTTCTGCTTACGGTCTAGGTCCAATACATCGAATCGATGGAATAATGGACCGTTTCATGTATAAAAATATCCTGAAAGATGATATGTTACCTCATGCTGAATGGAATATGCCAATAAAATGGATTTTTCAACAAGACAACGATCCAAAGCACACTGCAAAAGTAGTTAAGCAGTGGTTTCGAGACAACCACCTATCGGTGATGGATTGGCCGCCTCAATCTCCAGATCTCAACCCTATTGAGAACCTGTAAAGATTGTCAACCGCAGAATTAATTGCGAAGGTGTTGGTAATAAGGATCAACTGTTTGAACAAATTCAAAAGGCCTGGGCAGCGATTCCACAAAGTTTCATTGATCACCTGATCGAATCTATGCCTCGAAGATACAATGCTGTGATCGACAACAAAGGATTCGCCACGAAATTTTGATAACGAAATACGGCTTCGTCAACATTTTATGGAGTTGCACTTGTTTTGTCCAGAAGGAAATCAATTTTTTTTAAATACTTTTGATTAATTTGTTAATTTTCGTGTACAAATAATGAACTTTGTGATGAACAAAACTTAAAGAACGTTGTCTCTAAACAGTTACATAGTTATTTCTCTAAATTGAAAAAATGTAGCACTTTTATATGAAGAAACTAAATTAGCATTATTTGGTTGCACTTGTTTTGTCCGATACTGTATATGTTCCTTCCAGGTTACATTTTCGTCTAGAAACACGCCTAAAAATTTTATTGATTGCTCTCTATTAATTTATTATCAATAAAAAGGTCCTGATAACTAATTTTTTATGCAGACGATGGAATAAAGTATATTTTGTTTTAGTAATATTTAAAAATAATTTGTATGATTAAAACTATTGGATAAGTTTGTCTAGTTCTTTGTTTACTGTTTGAAATAATATATTGATATCTTTATTATATATTTATCTTTCCTCTTTATTATTTCCTGTATCTTAGCTTTGAAACCATTTAACATTCAAATGTTTATTCCCGTAATTTTATAGTTTAAGAGAATATAATGATTAACAGTGTTAAATGCTTCGCTTTAAAATTCAAAAGTTCAATATCTGAAGATTCGAAATTTTTAATACTTTTTTTGAAAATTTACTTTCATTTTGAAAACAGTCATTATTAAGCACTACCTGATTCTTACAGAAAGTTGCTCTGAAAAAACCGTGCTTTTGTGAAAAAAAAAGCACTGTATGCTGAATATTGTTGACGGAGTTCTTAATTTTACAATAAAAAAAAATTTGATTAAAAGTGATATTTGACGAATTAATTTAATAATTATTTGGATTTTGCAACAAAGGAGCTGTTCATAAACAATGTCACGCTTTTTGTAAAGTTCCTTAGGGTTTTAAACAATAGGGTTTATCGCTTTAGGTACACCTTGTACAAACTGAAAATCTTTTTAATTATGGTTTGATTCAAATAAAAGCTTTTATTCTCTTTTTTTTGACAGCTAGCACTTTAGCCTCGGGCATTTTAAATTCTCGTTTTCGAGAGAATGAGAACGAGAATTCAAAATTCTCATTTTTGCATTTTTCACTCAACAATTTCATAAAAAAGTTAAAATGATTTTTATAAACAAGAATTATAAACTATAAATATTGTTAACTTTTAAATATATTTTACGGTAACCATAAATTTATATTACATTAATTTCACCCATAATGTTTACTCTTCGGTCTTTGTACCTGACGCTTATTTCTTTCTCAATCTAGATAAAAAAGAATTAGTGAAACAGATTGTACGCAAAACAAAACAACAAGTGTTAAATAGAAACACGCGTTAAATAGCATTATAGATAAGCAAAAAGACACCTGTTTCTGTAATTCTTTTGTCTTTCTAATAATGACTTCCAATTTGGGCTCAGTTTCAGCTTGCAAAGTTTGTGCTTTCTGAGAGCGTTCTTCAAGAATATTTATTTGTTTCATGAGATTTTCAGACGTAGTTAATTTTTGAATTAAAGAATCGGCAATTCTATCGACATATCTACATCATTAAAATAAAAATACTATTGAAAGGATTCACATTTATTAAATAAAAACCTTTCATCAAAAATTGTTTAATCAACGTGAGTATATAATGGATATTCAAACAATTTGATGTCCAAATAATGAAACAATGCAAAAACTGCAAAGTACAACAAACCTAGGGGAATTTTGTATCAAATATAAATTTTGCATTTTTAACGAAGTCATCTCTGAAAGTATAGACGTGACACGAGATAATTGCAGCAGTAACCACTCTTTTGTTTGATTTTGAACAATTTCAGGAGCTAACTGAAACTATGAACAGAATAAAGATACATTAAATGAAGTTGATATAATATTTAAAAAAATAATTTAAAACAAAAACCAAAACTAAAAAATATATAGTATAGATATCTCTACTAAAAAATCCATAAAATATCAGAAGCAACATCAATAACATAGTATTGTAAAAATTTATTTCACTAGTATCAAAGACTAATGATAGGTTGCATAAAGTCTGACTTCTTTAGCAAAGTCAATAGTTCTCACTAAAATTCAATAGTTCTCACTAAACGCTTCTAAAATTAAATTCAACCAAAAAAACGTTTTGTAACATTAGTATCATTAAAATAATTTTACAGGGAAAATAAGTTATAATTAAAACTTTATAACAAAGTAAAAGTTGATAAAAAAGTGAAAACTTTAAAAAAAAATAAAAAATAAAAATCATCTACATAAAAATGAAGATTTGATAATATTTATCAACAAATTGATAAACAAAAATTCTCTAGATTTAAAAGATTTTAATTTGCATTATTTGTTAAGTTTATTCTCAGCATAATCTAGTTCACCTTTACATCTTTCTTCAGCTACCCTGTCAAAGCTAAGCTTTTTATATTTTCAGAATGACTCACATTATAAATGCATGTTTTCATTGAGGTTGCATCTTTAAAACTGGTTGGATTTTCACATTTGTGACATATTTAATATTAGGTTGTCCTACTTCTACTGATTCTAGTAACGTTGCAGCAAATTGAGCTAAGCACTTTTTAAAACATCACAAACTGTAATAAAAGCATTTGCTTTTGATAATTGCCTATAAACAGAAAATTCTCTTTCAGTTCTGTCGTTTTGTAGCTAAAAAAGCAGGCTGTAATCAAAACTGTCAGGTATCAGTCTTTTAGTGGTTCACACAAGGACTTTTTTGGTATCATGGATACGTTGAATTTGTTTGAGTCCAAGTAAGTATTTCATAGATTTAAATTGTTCTAAAAATAATTGCAGATTATTTAAACTTTTATTTTGTATAAATCAGTTGTGGTCTCTTAGTCTAATATTCTACCCTTTTGCAAAGACATTAAGAATAATTCACCAATCTAAAACCTACTGATAAAAGATGTTTCATAAGTTTCTTTTAGTTTCAGAGCAGTGAAAATATTTTTAAAACATGTCCCACTTTCTGTAGTTGAAGTACAGAAGGATAAACAGCAGCATGGGATATATAAACTAATACCAAAATGATATTAAAAAAAACTATATCTATATCACCAGTAAAGGAACCAATAGTTCTATTGTCAAGAGTTAACTTTTGATACTTTTCAGAAATCAATTTGTTACATAAACATTTATGTAGATAAACTGCATCAAGAAAATGAAACTAAACACACTGATCATATAATGGATGAATGGCCTAATAGTCAGTAATTCTTTTGAAAATTCTCTAGTAATGCTGATAGATTTTTTAACTATTCATTACAGATCCAAAAACTAATCGCACCATGTTTTTCAACTATAACAGCAGCTTTTTCACATCACTGAATTGGTATATTGATGTTTGTGAACAGGAGTAAAAGAAACCACTAAACTCGGTCTAGCATGTTAGCAATTTATCATGACACAGTTGCTTTAGATTTTGAATCATTATTTGAATCATTTAAAACTCCACCTGATTAAGTAACTGTTGTCCTGACTTTTACCTCTTCTATCTATCTATCTATCTATCTAAAAACTATCAAAAATGATCTATAAAATCTTTTTTTTTTTCTTTCAAGCAAAAAAAAAAAAAAAAAATTTAAAGTAAAATTCTTTTTTTTTTTGCTTGATAGCATCCTTTATTTCAAATTTATAATTTGAAAGAATAATTGTCACCTTTTCAATAATATCATTAACATGCAGATTATAACAATGAACTATATTAATAGCTTCAAAAAACTGTGAGTAGAATACCAAGCCATTATTGGGATTTAAGTAATTATTTAATAGAGCGCTAATGCCATGTTTAAAAGCAGAAAAAGTTAGTGGTAAATAAAATGTACACTTATCATAAACAATTTTTGTCATGAAGCTCTCTTTAAAATTCTTTGACATATAGTAATTTTTGACTCATACATTTTCCTTCACCTTCTGACATATAGTAATTCTTGACTCGTACATTTATATATGAAGTTTTATATACTGGTACATTTATAATGTACCATGTATAAATACAGTTATATATGAAGTTTTATATACTGATACATTTATAATGCATCCAGAATAGAAGTAGGATCATTCAAAATTTTGAAAGCACTAGTTTAATTTAAACATTTTTAAAAACTTTAAATTTAAACTTATTAAGTTTTATTAAGTGTTAAACAAATTTTTTTTAACAAGCTTCCTATAAAAATGGATACTATTTCAAAATACCTGACAAATGGTTATCATATCAGCATCAGAACTCATCTCAATAACACGTTGCTCCAGAAATGACTGAACCTAATGTACAAATAAATATAAATTAGGCAAGTTATTATATACACTAGTATATGATATATATATATATATATATATATATATATATATATATATATATATATATATATATATATATATAACTTTCGAAATTAGGAAATAATTTGCCAATCTCAATCTTTTAGAGATCAGCAAAAATTATTTGATACAAAGGTCTGATCATAAAACATTAAAACGAGGTCGGCAATTTTTTGCTGACCTCAAACACTTTCAGGTTGGCAATTAGGTTAGCATTGCCAAATATGACAAAAATTAAAAATTTTCAAATCTCTTTCACTTGTTTCAGATCAATATTTTTGATGCTATTAGTCATTTTATATATAAGAACCAAGTTTTAGCGCACAAAAAAAAATAATTTTTTTTTTAGGACACCCAAATATTTACACACAAAATAATTTGCGGGTACATTTTTTTACCTAGATGATTTATAATGTTAATTATCATTAATAATTTTAGCCATTTGATATTTTGAGTGATTCTTTGATAATTTTAAAGAGAGAAATACTTCAAATAAAGTGCATAGTAATATCTAAACATTTTCTATTTTTTAGAATTTTCTTTAACATGAAGGTAGATACTATTAAATCCATATTTAACTGCGCATGAAACATAAGTGATGACATACAAAAGTTACTCCTACCTTTAAGGGAATTCAGTTATCATCTGAGGTTTACTTATTATTTTAACAATAACAAACAACTATAAAGGCAAGGTTTTGATTTATTTACATCTAGTGTAAATTTTTAAAATTTTAACTCTTTAGTAGTAGCATAACCAGCTTGATATAATGTTTTGTTTAACTTACCTAATTTGTTTAAATTTACATTAAAAATTTTACAAAGTAAGAAAAGATAAAAAAAGTTATAAAATGAAGTACCCCTCTAGCTAACATTATTAACTACTATTTTCAAAATTAATAAATAGATAAATGAAAATATATAAAAACATAAAGATATGCCTCATAAAGTTCATCAATGAAAATATTTCTTGTAGAAGTATTTTCTAGCACATTTAAGGCTTCATTGCCACTTGCAACACCACCAATAGGATTATCTAAAAATAAAAAATTTGAATATTTATTGCTCTATTATAGTATTATTGGGCACTGTTTTGGGTGTATAGCCAGTCTTATTTATTTTTAAATATTCCTCTATTAATCTTTACTTTTGTCTTGACAACTGTCAAAATATGCTTTGTCTAATAAAGAATTCTCCTTTATTCTAATGTACTTCATTTCTTCCCTCAGACGTTCACTGCTCGTGTGTGACCATTCGACAAATTTTATATGCCAAAGTTTTTAAATAATATTGGGCCTAAACCGTAAGGGTTAGTGTTACGGTCATCAAGCACGACTATTTTCCAAATCGCAATTACTGTCACCGCGAAAGAGGATGTTTGTCAGTGGAAGATGCCTATATATATATATATATATATATATATATAATATATATATATATATATATATATATATACACTTACTAAAGCATATTTTTATAAGCATTTGCTCACTTTTTTTGCTTACCTTTATCCATACGGCTTTTTAAGAAAAAGAAGAAGAAAAACGAAGAATGATGAATGAAACGATTGCTGCCCTATCCCGAACCCTCAGTCGATGTAGTAGCACTCCACTGTGAGCCAGGCTATTTGTCAGTTGATGTATGTACTGAAGCCCCCAGTAATAGGCTATTTCAGTATCGCGTCAGATTGCTTACCTTAGTATGCAATACTATTTATATATATATGTATATATATATATATATATATATATATATATATATATATATATATATATATATATATATATATATATATATATATATATATATATATATATATATATATGTATGTATATATGTATGTATATATATATATATATATATATATATATATATATATATATATATATATATATATATATATATATATATATATGTATATATATATATATATATATATATATATATATATATATATATTTATATATATGTATATATATATATATATATATATATATATATATATATATATATATATATATATATATATATATAAATCAGGCTTTCCCAGGAAAGGCGTGCAGTCGCACGCCTTGTTTGTCTACGCATAGAATAAATTTTTCAGAAAACGTGACCGCTGCAATATTTCACGGTAAAGCGGAACATATCCACAAAGAATAAAAAGTAATACTAAAAAAAGGAAACAAAACCTTAACAAAGTATAAAACTGAAATTGGATGTTAGAAAATATTTTGATAATAAAAAAAAAAAAATTAACAAAAAAAAATTCTTGTAACAAAAAAAAAAAACAAGTCTTTTTATACTGTTTTTGTTTTCTTTTTTTAGGGTTGCTATTTTCAGCTACGAAATTTGATACAAGTCAAGGAAAAGACGACTATAAGTCATAAAAATTTCACGAAAATAAAAAGACTTTATACGTAATTTATTCATGAACTTCATCAGACAATATAATAAAAAACTGATTCATTATTTACGCTAACCAAATTAGGTTAAACGTTTTCATTTAATTTAGTTTTTACGAAGGTTTATGCAAATGCGATGACGTTATTCCCCAATACTTAGACAAGAAAATAAATTGCTGTTTATTATTAAATATATTATTTGAGATTTTAAACTCAAAAAGATTTTAATGTGCAAAAAAGTTCTCTCTTGACTTATTCTAATCTGATTATACTGAGTCAATGCTCGCTGTTTATTACGTTGAAATTATTCAATTGCATAATTTTGTAATTACGAAAGAAGTTAAAAAAATAATTGCATTGCTTCTGTAGTCATTGTTACGAAAACAGTTCCCTCGGGACATTTATTTTTAACACTCGTTCACAATGCCAATTAATCATTGCAAAATAAGCAACTCAATTGTTTGACAATAAAATTTTCTTTCATTTGAAAATAAAAAAAAACATATTTTACAAATAAATAGCAATCGTTTTCGCGCTTTCTTACGTATCAATATATTTAAACATTTAGATGTATTTACGAAACATTTAAAAACATAAATTTAAAAATTGTTTATAGTTCTAGCATGAATTTAAAAGTATTACTGACTGATAAAAGTCATAAACAAATTTTATATTAAAAGGTCCTTTTATTTTCATTAAATTTATATAAACAATTATCTTTTTCTTTTTCCTTGATTTGTATTGATTTAATTTTTCATAGCTGAAATAACTACCGCCCTAAAAAACAAAAAAAAATAAATAAATAAATAAAATATAGGTAAACTTTTATATATATATATATATATATATATATATATATATATATATATATATATATATATATATCTATATATATATATATATATATATATATATATATATATATATATATATATATATATATCTATATATATATATATATATATATATATATATATATATATATATATATATATATATATATATATATATATATATATATATATATATATATATATATATATATATATATATATATATATATATATATATATATATATAATATATATATATATATATATATATATATATATATATATATATATATATATATATATATATATATATATATATATATATATATACATATTATTCTGATTCATTCCCAACAAGGCTGCAAGCAACCATTATTAAGTTGGGAGAAAAACTAAGAAAATCTAGAAAAAAAGAATAGAGTTATAGAGCAAGAAAACAGTTGACAGAAGAGTTAAAAATTGAAGGTTGTATGAGTCAGGAAAACATGAAGATGAGAGAGTTCCAAAGGGTTGAGGTGCAGGGAATAAAACTAGACAAATAAAAGTTTTTAGAGCATGTAGGGACAGATACAATGAAAGAATAAGACTTTGCTGAATGATGAGTTAAGCGAGAATGAGTTTTAGTTGATGGAACAATAGATTATAGCTCTATTGAGCAGTAGTAATTGTAGAAAAGAGGAAGAGATCCAAAAGTCTCCAGAACATAACTTCCAAGATAAAATACGAGATTTAGTGAACTGCGAATATTTACACAGTATGGTATGACTGAAAATGTTTTTTAAGAATTTTAAATTCCCCGTGTCATCATGAGTGGAAAAATTGTATTTATAAACAGAAAATATAAGTTTTTAATGTTAAGTTTAGAAAAAGATCACCCCCTTCCCCCCAGCAGAAAATAATTTTGATGATATATAATGAGTTATAAATAACGTAATAGACATACAAAAATGGTATTGCTTCAGACAAGAATAAGAAAGTTTGGGAATCAAGTTTAGTGAGGTTTGAAAAAGCTAAGACTTCAAGAAGATGTGCTTTTGTTAAAAGTATTAGTGAAATGAATAAAAGGCCAACAGAACAGAATATTATTGCATATTATCAATTTAAAAGTTTGTCATCAAATGTAAAAAGCAGCAAGGAGAGAGTTGCAATTTTGGCTAAACAAACTGAACTACTTTGGAGAAAGCTGAATATTCAAATTCTACAAGAGAAATCAGCATCAGAAAGAAAAATAGAAAATGTATTTAAAAAACTAGACAAAAACCCAATTGTTTAACATAAATGATGAGAAAGGTGAATGGTTGTGTTAGGATAAAGAATTTTATGGTCTGCAAATGTCAACGGAACAGTTGGATATTGTATCACAATTGAAGATACTGAAGGTATTCATCCAAGAGAACTAGTGTTGATAAAGAGACAATCGTCCATCAACCAAGACCAAGATTTTGATGAATGACCTAGTAAAAGAGGTCATTCAGAAACTGAATATCAGTGTTCCAGCATTGATACTGAAGCTGAAGATGTGGAAAGTTTGTCATCATCATCTAAAAAGACAAAAAGCAAATTTGGCTGTAAATTTGGTGATTTATGCAAAGATTAGTACCAAAAAAACATATAAAGTCTGCAAAGCTTTATCAAAAAAAGTGGTTTAGTGGCTGGATAGCTCAATTGGTTAGAGTGTCAAACAATAAGTCAAAACCCGGACTGTTGTACAATACGGGTTCAAATCCTGCCACCCCTAACTCAGCGCTTGAGTAGTACTTCTGTTTGCAAAAATGTTGGTCAATAACGGAAGCTACTTTGGATTAGTCTTAATGACTATTTGTGGCTTTATACTTTGATGAAAAGCACATAAAGAAAATGGAGCATCAAGTAGTTGTTTTGAAAAATAAAAAGAGAGAGGTTAGACTTGCTGTTCTCGAGCTGATGAATAGAAAAAGTGAAATAATATTTAATGGAATAAAGCTTGTGCTGGATGAATATGAGCTGTGGCCAATGATTGTAATTGAAACAACATCTGCAAATACCAGAATAAGAATATATATATATATATATATATATATATATATATATATATATATATATATATATAATATATATATATATATATATATATATATATATATATATATATATATATATGTATATATATATATAAATATATATATATATATATATATATATATATATATATATATATATATATATATATATATATATATATATATATATATGTATATATATACATATATTCTTATTCCGGTATTTGCAGATGTTGTTTTAATTATATATATATAGCCCTCGGAATTAGGGAAAATGTAGTTGGCAATAAAAACCTCAAAATGTTAGAGGTCAACAACAACAAAAAATTACACAATATTATATAGATTTTTCTTAAAATTCAACAAACCTTGTCCATCTTCTTCAACAGTAATAGCTGCAACTGAATTATCTAATACTTCACAAGTTCCCCAATCAATATCTTCACCGCCAACTTCAAGATTCTCAGTATTTAAATCACAGCCCCAATCAATCTACAAAATAATGTTAATAAATCTTTTATTATGTTTAATTTAATTTCGCTACTTAGTTTAATATTGGTAGTTATGTTATATATTGTGCTATAAATATATATATACTATAAATATACCATCCATAATTATTCAAACCACATAAACTTTTTTAAAAATGCATTAACTTAATGAATTTTTAATGTTTATTTTTGCATAATTAGATAACTTGACAAATAAAAAAATGGACCATCAATAAATGCAAGTGTGGACCAACATGCCATAGTTCTGAACCTTTGGTTTCAAGATTTAACAAACCTTTGACTATTGCTTGGACTATTAATTCAAATTCAAAATTGCTAGGACTATTTAATAGTGTACCAAGTACTATCTGTGTTTTGAGTCAAGTTCCGAAACAAATCCAAAAATGAGTAAAGAAGAACCAAAAATTATAAAATAAAAAACCATTGTCATCACCAAGTTCTCTAAATGTATCATTCACTAATATTCAAGATCTTCAATGTAACTTTTCTTTTATTGAGTCTTACAAAGTTCACCAGGCCATTGCAATATTTTTAGAACTCACCTATTAGTTGGGAAACTAGATTTGAATCCATAGACCATTCTTTAATGTGCTTTCATTTACCACCACTTCACTCTATCACCTTTCTTTTTGTTCTATGTTGCTCTCCTTCATCTCAAGACTGCTTTTCAAATTGACCAAGCCCATTCTTGTTATCCTTCAGCCAATATCATTCATTTTGGTGACTTTAATGCTCATCACACTGAATGGCTTTGGCTCTAGTGTCAGTGACTCTGCAGGCGTTAAAGCCCACAACTTTTGGCTTTCTCAATCTGTAACACAAATAGTAAACTTTCCAGCTTGTTTTCCAGATATCTGAATCATTTACCTCCTTTACTCAACTTATCAGTTTGATCTCTCTAAAACTATTATCTCATTCTTCTTCATCATTGGAATCCCCTATCATCACACCTCTTACAACTACCTTAAAGCTGACTGGGATTCTTTCCATGATTTTCTTCGTGATGACCCTTGGGTAGAAATCTTTTGTCTTCCTGCTGACAAATGTACTTCTTATGTGACTTCTTAGGATCAGACTGGCACTTTTATTCCTTCTCAACAATTTCAAGTCAAGCCACACTTTTCTTCATGGTCTTCCTCTCGTTGTGCTGCTGCAATTTCTAATCATAAACATCACTTTCATATCTATAAGCAAAACCATTCACCAGAAAACAGGCGTCACTTTACTATTGCTAGAAACCATCGTAAAAAGGTTTTGTCTAACGCAAAAGCCCAATATTCTCAGGTTACGAAGTCTTGTATTTTATCTCAAAAATTAGGCTCCCAAGACTTCTGGAGAATCTTTAACAATGTCTAAAATAAAGGAAAATCTGTTATTCCACCTCTTTTGCATGGTTCAGATTTTGTTACCTCACCTAAAGACAAAGCTGAATTGTTTGCTTAGAACTTTTCATCAATATCATCTCTTGATTCCACCAGTTACATTCTACCTGATATAGCTCTCAAACAGTTTAATCCATTGCTTGATATTCGTATCACTCTAGCTTCTGTATCTAAAGTGATTTCTTGCTCTTGCTCTCAGCAGACTCTTCTACAGCTTGTGATTCAACATACCTGTCTTGCAGAAGTCAACATACCTATTATAGTCTTGCAGAAGTCAACATACCTGTTATAGTCTTGCAGAAGTCAACATACCTGTTATAGTCTTGCAGAAGTGTTCTCCAGAGCTGTTGTTTATACTTTAAAAACTATTTAACAAGTGTCTATCAGAGTCTTTTTTTTCAGCCATCTGGAAAGCCGCATCTGTTATCCCTATTTCCAAAAACTCTGGAGAGCTATCTGACTTGTCTAACTTCCTATCATAAGCAATGTTTTTGCTCTTGACATTTCTAAAGCTTTCTTTTTACTATTGCTCTTGACATTTCTAAAGCTTTTGATAAAGTTTGGCTGGTCTTCTCCATAAACTTTCTTCTTACGGTGTATCTGGAAACATCTTTAAGATTATTGAATCCTTCCTTTCCAACCGTAGTATAAAAGTTGTCCTTAATGGACACCACTCTTCTTCTTATTCTGTAACCTCAGGGGTTCCTCAAGGTTCAATCCTTGGCCCTATACTCTTTTTAATTACATTAACAATCTTCCAGATATTCTCACATCTAAGGTGGTATTGTTTGCCAATGATACTACCATTTATTCTTGTCATGATAAAAAGCCAACTCCCTCTGATTGCTTGCAGGGGGCATTTGAGCTTCAAAATGATCTCACTTCTACTACAGCATGGGGCTCACAGTGGCTGGTGAACTTTAATTCAGATAAAACTCAATTTTTTCAGCCATTTGTTATTGCAATAATTTAGATTCCTATATTTATGAACGGTAATGTATCTTCTTGGATTAACTCTTACTTCTGATCTTTCTTGGAAATCTTATATCAAATCCGTTGCAAAATTAGCATCTGCTAAAGTTGCTTCTCTTTATCCAGCTCGTCACTTTCTTACTCTGGATTCTATTCTCTATCTCTATAAATCTTAAATCCGGCCTTGTATGGAATACTGTTGCCATATCTGGGGCGGATCTTCTAATGATGCCCTTTCTCTTTTAGACAAGGTGCAAAAACGCATTGTAAACATAGTTGGACCTGCTCTTGCAGCCAACCTTCAACCTTTGTCACATCGCCATAATGTTGCTTCTCTTTCTCTTTTCTATAAATACTATAATGGGCACTTTTCTAAAGAGCTAGCATCTCTTATGCCATCTACTAAAATTCATTCTTGTGTTACTCGTCATTCAATCAAGTCTCATTATTTTACTGTGACTGTTACTAAGTGCTCCAAAAATTCTTATTTGTCTAGTTTTTTTCCAAAGGGAGAGAGTTCCAAAGAACATCAGTTCTTTGGAACTCGCTCCCTTCATCTATTCATTGAAAAGAAAGTATAAATACAAATGTAATTATAATAAATTAATCAATGTATCTGATACTTATTCTGAAAATTCATTAGGTACTTTTAATACCAATAAAAGTAATTCAACTAATAGTGAATTTGAAATTGAGCCACATACTGCTCACACAATTGAGCATTAAACTGCTCACACAGCAGTTGGAGAACTTTTTCCTTACTACTCACATATTACGAAAATAACTTTTTGTTTAGCCACATTGAATCAACAAAAAATTTTTAAAAATCAACAAAAAAAAATTGACATTTCTGTAGTCAAATTCATAAATTTGCCATGAACATTTTTGAACCATGAACATTTCTGAGCCATGAACATTTCTGAACCATGAACATTTCTGAACCATGAACATTTCTGAACCATGAACATTTCTGAACCATGAACATTTCTGAACCATGAACATTTCTGAAATTTTTTTTTACTGGACTAGTAGGGAAAGTGGTGAAACTTGTAAATTAGGAGGGACTTAAAAGTGTTTTGAACTAAAACTGTTGCTTTTATCGGGTACAATCGGGAGTCGGGGAACAGCAAATGATCCCTAGTGCTAATTGTCTATAATGTCTTCAACAATTGCATGATAAATAACAATAACTTTTTTTTTTGATGATGAAAGCAGCTAATTTTACCAAAAAATAGTAGCTACAATTAAAAATCTGAAAGAAAAAAAAAAAAAAAAATTCAAAAAAATAAGAATTAGAAAAACTGATGATCTCTGCAACAAATATTTGTAATTGTTATGATTTAAACAAATTTATATTTTGGCAAAACCTTTTTTTCCCAGACTACTAAGTTAGGTTGGCATTGCCGAATGCCAACCTTAATTCTGAGAGCTGAATATAGCGTATACAGGTCAGCAAATGCTTATTAGTTTTGCTTATCTTTATAGCATACAGTTTTTCAAACAAAAAAAAACAAACCAAGAATAATAAAGAAAAGATTGGTGCCCCATGTCAAACCCTCATTAATAAAATAATTAATAATAAACTTCAAATAAAATATATATATATATATATATATATAAATATATATATATATATATATATATATATATATATATATATATATATATATATATATATATATATATACATACATATATACACATATATATACATATATATATATATATACATATATATACATATATACATATATATATATATTATATATATATATATATATATATATATATATATATATATATATATATATATATATATATATATATATTATTGCTCGATTATAGTAGTATTTAGCACTGTTTTACATGTTTTTTTTTCAAGAGTTTTTTTATTATTTTAATTTGAGTTTTTGTATTTATTTTGCTATATCAAAAAGTAATTACCATCACATTTACAATGTGATTGTATAGATGGCGTTTAGATTTTGGAGTTTAGCAACTTAATCTAACATTTAGATTTTGTAGCTTCACAACTTTTAACCCAAGCTGGCTTGGGCTTTCCCCAGGGCTCCTGAGCCAGCTTAAAGTGGCCCTGTATGAAAGTATTTATGAAAATCAAAAGCATTAAAAAAAACAAAAATTAATGAAATACATAACTGAAAGTTTAATCAGGTATAAATAATGCTAACATTCTATGAATCAGATAAAACTTTAATAGAGTAAACAAAAAACTAGATAATATTTATAATAGTACATGTTATTGTTATTAAATGAACAAACAAAAAAAATAGTGATAATAAGTAAACAATATGAGCAAAATAGTATATAACAGATAAAAATATTAAATAAATGATTGATATAAATTAAAATAATACCAAAAGAATTAAGTATTTATAAGATTTTCAAAAAATAAAAAATTACCTCTTCTTGATTGTCTTCTTGAGTAAAAGAACCTTCACTTAATTTTATCATTTCATCCATATCTACAGATTTTATAGAATCTATAACTTTTGATGGCACCTCACCAGTTTTCCATTGGTATACAGTTACATTACCGTAAACCATCAAAAAATGTATCATGGAGCATATATTTTCAACAACAACAAACTCACTAAAAATCAACATCAACATATTTGAAGAGTATATATATTTTTATCAAAGTATTAAAATCTTTAATTTTTACAGATATTTTTTCTTGATAGTAGTTATTATTTATTATTTTAATAAAAAAAGAAGATAATTGTCTTAAAAAAAAGCAAAGAAAATCATTAAATTAAGTTATGGATCATAAATGATCCATGCCAGCAATCTCTCAAATCTTACATATGTCAATGAAAGTCACTTTTCAAAAACATACTTTTTACAAAGGTTCATTAAACTACCAAAAAGCCACAAAACCATGAATGTGATACAAAATACAGAAAAAACATACAGAGCACAAGTTAGTTAGCCAATGGCACCACGTATACCACAGAATTTCCAATGGATTTAAAATTCCTAAAATTCAATGACCTTTTTTCTTTTTTATTTGTAAAAGAAATAGGACAAATTTGTATTCATAGGAACTTCCCCTATTACTTTTATTCAATAAAAAATTTAATAAAAATTCACAACACTTTGTAGTGCAATAACAACAAATATTCTTAATACTGCAAAAAATGTCATAAAAGTATATTCCTGGCTATAGTCGATGTATGTACTAAAGCCCCCAGCAGCAGGCTATTTTAGTTTGATGTTATCTAAACATGCATTTACACAGAAAAGTATAAATGCATGTTTTATCTAAACATGCATTTATACTTTTCTGTGTAAATGCATGTTTAGATAAGCACTGTGACAACAAATATTACAATTATTATTATATGCATATATATTACTGTTTAAAAATTAAATATTATGATATAAAAACTTAATACCTTTGTGTGATAAATTTTACAAAAGCTCTGTAAAAATTCAAAACATCAGATATTTCTTTCAGCTTTCCTGTTATAGATCCAAATATACCTGGTAACTCATTTACTTGCTCTAAAAGCTCTTTTCTTACATTTGTACCCTGAAGATTAAAAAATAAAAATAATATATGTATATGTGTATATATATATATATATATATATATATATATATATATATATATATATATATATATATATATATATATATATATATATATATATATATATATATCCTTATAGTGTAGTCGAAAGAGTCTTTTAATGTAAAAAAAGTCTCTTTCGACTACAATTTTAATTACCTCGTCTCTTAAGCTGTATTTGATTGTCATCGAAATGTCAAAGCAATTAAATTAATGCGGAAGTACATTAAATTTTATTGTTTTTTAAAAAATTTTTAAAAAACAATAAAATTTAATGTACTTCCGCTGACTGACAAATAGCCTGACTCGCAAAGGAGTGCTGCTATATCGACTGACAAATAGCCTGACTCGCAAGGGAGTGCTGCTACAACGACTGACAAATAGCCTGACTCGTAAGGAAGTACTGCTACATCGACTGAGGGTTTGGTTTGGGCAGGCAGTCTATCATTTAAAAAAAAAAAAAATTTAAGTTTTTAAACTTTTTCTGGTCTGGTTTATTAACGCACTCTTTAAAACTACAGTTTATGGGAAACTCTTTCTGACTACCATGCAAAAGTATATATATATATATATATATATATATATATATATATATATATATATATATATATATATATATATATATATATATATATATATATATATATATATATATATATATATATATATATATATAAAGTATAATTAAATAGAGAAATACAACTTTATAATGGAACTAAAAGTTTCATGTCTATCAGCAATCTTTAGCCATATATTATTATACAAATCAAAAAAAAAACCGTTAAAAAATACAAAATACAAAAACAGCAGTAGAATGAGTTCCGTCGTCAAAACAAAACGAATAAAAAGGAAAGTTTAGTAGTAAAACTGCTAATTGCCAGTGTCAAACTGGGCAAGAAGAAATTTGTTTTTATGCCGGCACTTAGATAATATTTCACTCTTTTTATTTAACAAATTTGGGTGTTTGAAAAATAAAATTTCGTACTTTTCGTTTATGCATAAGTTACATTGCTTTGTTACAGGGTTATAGGCATTGCACTTTAAATTATTTTCCACCTAACAACCGGGTTCAAGTTTTCATCTTTTTATCTCCAAACCTCCTTTGATAATTCAGTGCCATTTTTGTATTTGGGAATTTTAAAAGATTTTATGTGATTAGCATATCTAATTTTAAAAGATGTTTCGCTTATGTCAATGTAAAATTTATTGATAGGAGTTTGAACAAGATCGTTGGAACATACATTAGCTTGATATACTATATTTTTTGTTAAGCATTGGTTTGATAAAGGGCAGGTGTTTTTATCTATGCAATTACAATTATTTCCAGCTGATTCTATCTTGTTGTTTATAACATGACAATTGTAGGCGTTTAAAACGGATTTCATATTCAGCATACAGCTATAACTTACTTTTAATATGTTTCTGTTAAAAATTTTTTGGAACTTGTGATTTATAGGGAAGTGCTTATCAATTAATGTTAAAAATATTTTTCCTATATTTGTGCTAACGTTTTTGCTAAAAGGAGGGTTGAACCAAACAATATTACATTTACGGTTCTTGGTGTGAGATAATTCTAAGTTAGGTTGGTAAGAAAGATTGTAATTAAAACTGGACTTTTTTAATGCTTCATTAAACATAGGTAAGGATTTTTGAAAGATTTCCTCGCTTGAAGAATTACTGATAATCTCAATTCATTAAATCTTTTAATAAAATAAAATCACATAAAATCTTTTAAAATTCCCAAATACAAAAATAACACTGAATTATCAAAGGAGGTTTGGAGATTAAAAGATGAAAACTTGAACCCATTTGTTAGGTGGAAAATAATTTAAAGTGCAATGCCTATAACCCTGTAACAAAACAATGTAACTTATGCATAAACGAAAAGTACGAAATTTTATTTTTCAAACACCCAAATTTGTTAACTAAAAAGAGTGAAATATTATCTAAGTGCCAGCATAAAAACAAAATTCTTCTTGCCCAATTTGACACTGGCGATTAGCAGTTTTACTACTATGCTTCTTTTTCATTCAATTTGTTTTGATGTCGGAACTCATTCTACTGCTGTTTTTGTATTTTGTATTTTTTAACGGTTTTTTTCTTGATTTGTATAATAATATATGGCTAAAGATTGCTGATAGGCATGAAACTTTTAGTTCCATTATAAAGTTGTATTTCTCTATTTAATTATACTTTATATATATATATATATATATATATATATATATATATATATATATATATATATATATATATATATATATATATATATATATATATATATATATATATATATATAAAGTATAATTAAATAGAGATATATAATATCTCTATTTAATTATACTTTATATATATATATATATATATATATATATATATATATATATATATATATATATATATATATATATATATAAAATTGATCTATTTTGTAAAAATTGCTTTTACATTATATTGATCACTCTCAAGTAAACAAGAGGACAATAACAAACAACAATATATATATATATATATATATATATATATACATATATATATATATATATATATATATATATATATATATATATATATATATATATATATATATATATATATATATATATATATATATATATCAGGCTTTCCCAGGAAAGGCATGCGGTCGCACACCTTGTTTGTCCACGCATAGAATAAATTTTTCAGAAAACGTGACCGCGGCAATATTTCGCGGTAAAGCGGAACATATCCACAAAGAATAAAAAATAATACTAAAAAAAGGAAACAAAACCTTAACAAAGTATAAAACTGAAATTGGATGTTAGAAAATATTTTAATAATAAAAAAAAAAAAATTAACAAAAAAAAATTCTTGTAACAAAAAAAAAAACAAGTCTTTTTATACTGTTTTTGTTTTCTTTTTTTAGGGTTGCTATTTTCAGCTACGAAATTTGATACAAGTCAAGGAAAAGACGACTATAAGTCATAAAAATTTCACGAAAATAAAAAGACTTTATACGTAATTTATTCACGAACTTCATCAGACAATATAATAAAAAACTGATTCATTATTTACGCTAACCAAATTAGGTTAAACGTTTTCATTTAATTTAGTTTTTACGAAGGTTTATGCAAATGCGATGACGTTATTCCCCAATACTTAGACAAGAAAATAAATTGCTGTTTATTATTAAATATATTATTTGAGATTTTAAACTCAAAAAGATTTTAATGTGCAAAAAAGTTCTCTCTTGACTTATTCTAATCTGATTATACTGAGTCAATGCTCGCTGTTTATTACGTTGAAATTATTCAATTGCATAATTTTGTAATTACGAAAGAAGTTAAAAAAATAATTGCATTGCTTCTGTAGTCATTGTTACGAAAACAGTTCCCTCGGGACATTTATTTTTAACACTCGTTCACAATGCCAATTAATCATTGCAAAATAAGCAACTCAATTGTTTGACAATAAAATTTTCTTTCATTTGAAAATAAAAAAAAACATATTTTACAAATAAATAGCAATCGTTTTCGCGCTTTCTTATGTATCAATATATTTAAACATTTAGATGTATTTACGAAACATTTAAAAACATAAATTTAAAAATTGTTTATAGTTCTAGCATGAATTTAAAAGTATTACTGACTGATAAAAGTCATAAACAAATTTTACATTAAAAGGTCCTTTTATTTTCATTAAATTTATATAAACAATTATCTTTTTCTTTTTCCTTGATTTGTATTGATTTAATTTTTCATAGCTGAAATAACTACCACCCTAAAAAACAAGAAAAAATAAATAAATGAAATATAAAATCTTTTTTTTAATAATATTCACAATTTTTTTAATTTTTAAGCACAAACAGATTTCTTATTTACAAACAGATCTGTTATTTACTTAAGTGTTGCTTGTATTTTTAATTTTTAAACACAAACAGATTTCTTATTTACAAACAGATCTGTTATTTACTTTAGTGTTGCTTGTATTTTTGCGGTATTTTCGTTTAGCTTTGTTTTGGCGCGAATTCTTGAAACGCATAATAATAAAACGTGGTCAGTTAGTCAGAAAAATTTATTCTATGCGTGGACAAATTAGGTGTGCGACCGCACGCCTTTCCTAAGATCCTAAGAAAGCCGATATATATATATATATATATATATATATATATATATATATATATATATATATATATATATATATATATATATATATATATATATATAATTAAGTAAACAAATTTAACAAATATTACTAAGTAGAAAAGCGGAAAAAAGTATGGAGATGAAATAAGGAACTTGACTTTAAAGCCATCAAAATGAAATCTATTACTATATCTGAATAACATCAAAATATATGAAACTCTAGAATGATCTAGAAACTATATAAACCAGATATAGAGACCTTTATCAACTAAAGAGTTAAACATATTTAGACGCATGTAGTTTATATATTAATTATATATGCTTGATTTTGAACTTGACATAAAATCTACTTCAACATATTTTGTCATTTTTTCCTCATTAAATCTATTAAACTCTTATTTTGCTCTACTTTTTTTTATATTTATTTTAATTTTTGTAAGACGTAATTAACTATTGAATTTAAAAGATCTTAATAAACTAGTAATTACATAAGACACTAAAAGTAATTAAGCTCAGCCCCAAAAACAACCAACAAAAGAAAATGTATAACAATATTTGGCAAAAAAAGCAAAAAGAAAAGATTATGCAATAAAAAAATGCTAGAGACCCAACATTTAAACCAAACTTCAGGAAAAAGATAACAAAATATATAAAAGAAAATGTATAGGAAGGTATACGTGAAAAGATAAAAAGACAAATCAATTTTAGCTTTTGAACTAATTTTTGAGAATTTATAAAAATATAGATACCCATAATTTAAACTGGACTTTCTGGGAATATGATCTAAAAACAGAGACTAGAAAAAAGTTAAAAAAATATATAAAAATAAGGACTCCTTATGTATTCAACTTTTTTAAAATTATATGTATTCTAAGTATTAGACCTCGCTGTTTATACAATTAGACTTGCTAACTTTCAAATAATTACTTTAAAACCAATTTAAAAAACAGTCACCTTAATTCCTATTTGCTTACAAATTGTTTTATATTTATCCATAAAGTATGCAGAGTTGGTTGTACATTCATTTATTTTTCTTGAACAATCCTAAAAAAAATTATGTTGAATTAAAAAATTAAATATTTATCTTGAAATGCTATTATATAGTCAGTAAAATGCTGTTATATATTCAGTAAAATGCTATTATATAGTCAGTAAAATGCTGTTATATTGTCAGTAAAATGCTGTTGTATTGTCAGTATATTGCTCAAATACCAGTTTACTGCAAAACTAAAGATATAAAAATTACTTTACAACAATAGACAGTATTAAAAAAATACCTTACAAAAACAGTTACTCTAACAACAGTTACCCTAAAAATACCCTTACAAAAAGATACCTTACAAAAACATCAGTGAGAACCTTACTCGTTGTATTTGCTGACATTTGCCAATCTGACGTTTTAATGCTGGAATTTCAAAGTTTACATTTCGTATCAGCATATTTGCTGATTCAGCTAAAAGTTTATAACAAGAACCAATAAATGCTTCAATAGAGCAAGAAAAAAGAAAGTAATAAGCAAGTAAAAAATAAGCAAGTAAGGAAATTGTTTACAAAGAAAAATTCATATAATATATACCTAAACAAATAAAATTTCAAAAAAGTAAATAAAAACCTAAGTAAACACTTTCATGAGTGTAAAGTTGAATAATATCTTGCCAATCCTAAAAGTATATTAAAAAATTAATAAAATAGAAAACTAGAATTTTTGAAATGATGCAATCAATCTACAGATTGTGTCATTTCAATCAAGTCCACAAATATTTTTTTCGTCTTGGTGTTATTTAAAAAATGATTTTGTTTATTGGTAATTTTTACTTTCCTTCTGCATCCAAAATTGACATCTATATTTTACCATTACCTCAGTTTTCATTTTATAATTTTTTTTTTGGTGATAAATGAGATTATTTTTAGTGATAAATGAAAAGATTTTTAATCATTACAAGATTACAACCATTATCAGCATTTTTGTCATTATGGTTATATTTAGTGTTAAACTTTTTTATTTTAAACTTTAAAATTGTTCATTTTCCGCAATTCAATGAATGAACTGATAAATCTAATTAAATTGATTATAATATGTTTTAAATCTAATTAAATGATTATAATATGATTCGTAATTATTGGTTTGCATTGGTGTAAGCATTAGGGACCTGATGGAAAATGGCCTTGTTGTAAACCTATAACTATAGAATCCTGAATTAGACACTATAACTCAATAAAATATGTAATCCTATATAAAAATCACACAGTTATGTTTTTTTTTATTTTAAAAACAAAAGTAATATTAATACTATATAAATCTAATTTATTCAGAAATTTATTATATAAACAAATTTCTCTAATAAAATCTAAAATTTAAAACAATGTTTTATTTTTGGATTTAGTGAAAAATAAAACAAATAAATTTGATTTGCTGATCGCCTGAGAAAACAAAATACCAGGATTATAGGTTTAGGCATTTTTGAAGAATTTAGGATTTTGTTAAAACTATCTAGTTATGTCATAAACTTGAATGCATTATAAACTGAAACTCAACACAAAAGTTTTTATATGATTTTATATTAATGTAATTATAGCCACTAGAGACAAACTAAAAAAACAAAAATTTAAACTTGTGCACAAATTAAATTGTTTAAAATTTTTACAACAAATACACCATTCATTAACCAGGAAATTTGATAACAACAAAAAAAACTATGATTGTGATAGGATAATAATATGATTGGTAATAATAAATATAATAATTGGATTTTGAGCCTAAAATTAGGCTGATAAACAAACAAAAAATTTTTTGTCAATATCTCTATAAATAATTTGCTTTGTCTAAATAACTTAAAACTTTTGTTCTAATATTTATTTATAAAATAAAACTGAATTCAGCTTACTTAGAGATCGATTTAAACATATTTCAAAACATGGTATTTAACAAAGCGAAAATATAAAATGCATATTTTATTTTGCATTTTTAAATTTTTAAACTTTTTCCTAATCACATTATATATTTCAAATTAATCTGCATGCATTAAATTGTAATTGAACATTCTGCTTTCGCAATACATTTTAATGATTAATACTAAAGTCGTTTTATAATTTGTTGCAGTTGTTATATGCCTGATTACTATTCCTTTAAACATATCTTTACCATTCCGTTAGATTAAAAATCGGTAATAATAACCACATTAACTTAATAATAATAACACTTTAACTTTTAGTAAATATATCCAAAACTACTACTAGGTAATAACAATATATTCTCTATATAATATCATTTTATATTCTCATATATCATATATTCTCTATATAATATAACAAAATAACCTGGTCAGACAAATACTACCTTTTGTTATTTGTCCCTCAGGTTGGGCTAGAAATACTTGTCTTTAGAGTTGGTTTATTTGTATTAAACTAATAATACACTTTTACTTCATTGCTATTTTTTTTTTTTTAATTTTTTTAATACATATAATACTAAGTATTTTTACCAAATATTTGTATTACCATCTATTAACTCTATCCATCTATTACCATCGATTATTTGTATTACCATCTATTAACTCTATCCATCTATTAACTCTATCCATCTATTACCATCTATTATTTGTATTACCATCTATTAACTCTATTCATCTATTACCATCTATTATTTGTATTACCATCTATTAACTCTATCCATCTATTACCATCTATTATTTGTATTACCATCTATTAACTCTATCCATCTATTACCATCTATTATTTGTATTACCATCTATTAACTCTATCCATCTATTACCATCGATTAACATCTATTTTATAGAACATTTTTTTTAAAACATGTTTTTTTTTAAAACATGTTAGTTATGACACATTTAAAAAATGAAACATATAAAAAATGATACATATAAACAATGATACAAATAGGTCATAAAGCAGTAAACAATTTTTTTTTTTTTTGCTAAATCTTGAATTAGTTTTTTCCTTTATTCAAATTTTATCTTATAAGAATAGAAAAGCTTCATTTCATAAATTTTGTTTGCCTAAATCTTTCATTATCCTATCTAAGTGAATGAATCAAATCTTCACAGAGCAAAGCAAAACTTTGCAAACCTGCAGTTGGCTATAAACAGTAATCATGTGTTAACTAGGCTATAAACAGTAATCATGTGTTAACTAAAATCCATTGGATTTCAAGAGCTGTAATTTAAAACACTAGATGTTTCCATAGTTTATATAGCACAATGTGCAGAAAATTCCTTTTTGTTAAACATTTAAAAAAAATTCTTTCTTAAATAGAACACAAAAGGCTTTTGATTGATAATATTTTTAAATATCAGATAAATATGATAAAATTCATGAGCTTTTATTTTTTTCATTCTTTATTTTTGTATTTTTATTTTTCATTCTTTTGTACAACTAAGCTTTACTTAAACTAATACTAAAAATTATAGTTTAAATAACTAAAACTATAGTGTAATACAACAAAAGATAAAGTTAGAATAAGTTGATTTAAGTTTCAAGTTATATAATCTACTAAAATTATAATGAGTGCCTAATTTTGTTTAGAGAAAAATCTTTTTATTAGAATTATAAAATTATACCTTCATCCTTTTAGATGAATATTGTCCAAAAAAATTGGTGTTCCCTTCCCCACATTCTTTCAGCAACTCAATGATTTGTTTACAATGAAAGTAATTAATATCTAGAACAAAATGAAAGTAATTAATATCAAAAATTAAAATAAAAAAAGAACAAAAGTTTTAAAGTCATATAAAGATTTAAAATTGAAGACATATTTATATAATAGAGTTTCAATTATAAATAAAATCTTTTAAAATTTTTTAACTCAAAAAATGTCAAAAATTAAAAATATTATGTTTTTCTTTATATTTAAAAATATATGTGTGTATATATATACTCTTGCTTGGTCATCTTTAATTTTAACCATAAAATGTAAACTTTATGTTTTTTTAAAAAAAAAAAAAATTAATTTTGATAACGGGAAAATGTTTTAAAACTTTTTCAAAAGTTTTTTTTTAATTAATAGATTGCCTGCTCAAACCCAAAACATCAGTCAATGTAGCACCACCACCTATTTGTCAGTAGATGTAGCCGCACTTCTCAGATGTTCGATTTGTCAGCCAATGTGGCAGCACTCTTCACATGTTTTACGTATTTGTCAGTCAATAGGCTGGGTGAATAAAAAAAAGCAATTGCTTTTACTTAGTAATTGGTAAGTTTTACGTGGATAAAAACTTCAGCAGTTTTGCGCACATTAAGTTAAGCAATTTACTCAATATTTATTAAGCTCTACGTGAATAATAACTTAGGTAAAATTGCTGACATTTTTATTCATGTAAAGCTTCAAATAAAGCTGACCAATTACTGAGCAAAGGTAATTGCTTTTTTTTATTCACCCGGCCTAATGTATGTAAACAGTAAAAAATTTAAAATAAAAACATTCAGGGTGTTTTAAAAAACATTCCAGTTTATTAATTTGTACTTGAGCGGTTTTGAAAAAAACAATAAATTTAATTAGTTTTCTCAATTAAATTTAATGGTTTTGACATAAAGTGCAAATAATTTTGTAATTAAGTACACTTTATGAGTAGATAGTTTCAAAAATAAAAATATGTAAAGTAGCTAACAAGAGTTTGTTAGCTACTTGTTTGAGAAACAAGTTTGAAAAATCAACATAAATAAATCACTTTGAAGATGCCATTTTTTTTTAGAATTATAAAGAAACACCTCATTAAAATTAAGTAAACATAAACAAAACTAAAACTTTCCAGTAGTTTATTTATTTTTTTTTTTTTATTAAGTTAAAGTTTTTAAGCTAAAAAGATGAGATGAGATAAAAGTTTTTTTTACTTTAAAATAAAAATATCAGAAACTTTTTTTTGCTATCTAAACTCAAATAAGTTGCAACAATATTGCAATAACAAATAATTTTATAATCTTGATAAAATTTATAATCTTGGTAGAGAGCTCACTTCATAAGCAAGAGGTTCTGAGTTTGATTCCCACCACGTCCCTGGTAGTACCGCGCTCAACTTGTTTCTCTGTGCAGCGGCCTTGTTCGTCAAGGTTCGTGTTTTGGAGTTATAGAGTTGAGAGAGGGTTATAACCACAAATAGCCTCCTCATCTGTAGTGGCCTTCTCAGCCTTAGAGAGGTAAATTTAATTAAAAAAAAGTTTTTTTTAAACTAAATTGTGAAATTTTTTTGAAACTTTTATATCATTTTGTTTCTTTTAAGAACCAACATGATATATTTTTAAAAAACTTTTTTTATTAAAAATGTTTCCTTATTAATCCAAATAATATGAAATTTACTGTATTTTATATTATTTGGATTAATAAGGAAATGTTAATAATTTATGTTTTTAGAAAAACAAAATTTAGTTAACAATTTAGAGAGAGTTCTATAAGAGAGTTTAATAAATTAAAGAGAATTCTGGAGAATACTTTTGTAAGATTATGACAGGAATATTGTCTTGATCACAAGTTAGAGAAGAGTTAAAATAAAGAAATGACTTTAGCAACAGAAGTCTAAGTGATTTGGACATCTAACATTGGGTAAACTTGTTTAACTGTAACAGCATAAAGAGAATGGCCATTCAAAAGTTGAATTAAAAAAGTTCTTTGCAGATAGTTCAGTCTTATACTTAGGATGATAAGATCAGTCCTATGAATTAGAGATGGAATGTTAGACCATGGATTGTTACACCTTTGTTAATGACACTGTTGAATATTTTCTAAAAGTCTCTAAAACCTAACTTCTAAAGCCTAACTTTTGAGACAAGATACGTGATTTAGTAAATTGAGAATAATGGAGCTTAGCATCAGACAGCACTTTTTACATTGATTTCAATAACAAGATGTTTGTTCTCAAAATAGTGAACTCTATTAATTTTCTTGTGAAAAAGATGACAAAAATTGTTATGTTTAAATATAGCAGCTGCACAAGAATGTGGAAACTATGGAGTAGAAAGACACTTGACAAGAACCAACAAAAAGGAATAAAAACTTCCATACCAGATTGGATCCAAGTGGTTAAGTAAGAGGAGCATTTATCAGCAGAGAGACAAAAGATATAAGCCCAAGAAGTCTGAATAAAGAAGTACAAGATAAAAAATTTAAAGAGATCATTGCATGGTCAAAACCACCTAAAGGGGAACAAGAGTTAGGACAAGACACAAATCAAGGAGTGAAGATTAGGATTGAAAAAGTTGACTATCTGAGTAAGAGATTAGGCAATGATAAGAAATTAGGCAATGATAAGAATCTATTATGCTTATAACTAAACTATTTGCGCACTTAAAGCTATAAATGGCTTATTGTTTATTTAAAAAAATAAATATATTTATCACAGTTGATGAATTAAAAATATTTTTTTAATTATATAAATAAATAGAATTTAATTGTTTATTTAAATTTACAGAGTTCTTATTTTAACGCCAAAAATTATAAAATAAACAAAGGCTGGCACTTTGAAAATACAAGCATATTATTATTTTTTTTTTTTTTACCATTTTTTCTTTTTAAATCAAATTCAAAATAAATATACTTCAGATGCCAAACAAACTGCCATTTCACTTTTTATGAATAAAATAGTGAAACCTTAGTTAAACCATAGTCAATAGAAGTTATCCAGGGATAACTTCTATTGACTATGATTTTCTAAGAACTTCTAAGGGATAACTTCTATTAACTGAGGGATAACTCCTATTGACTATGGTTTTCTAAGAACTTCGAAGGGATAACTTCTATTAACTAAGGGATAACTTCTATTGACTATGGTTTTCTAAGAACTTCTAAGGGATAACTTCTATTAACTAAGGGATAACTTCTATTAACTATGGTTTTCTAAGAACTTCTAAGGGATAATTTCTATTAACTAAGGGATAACTTCTATTGACTATGGTTCAATCAGAAAACTTTTTTTGCAATTACTTTGATCACGTGATTACATTATTTTTAAACAACATGACCATTTTGTCAGAATATTTTATTTCCCGACCAGAAATAAGTTCTATTGACTATGATAAAATAAACTGTAGAAAAAGAAATCTTATTAAATAAAGAAAATAAAAAAAAGATCGTATAAATTTTTTTTGACGTAAGGTCAAATTTAATTAATAGTAATACTATAAATTTAATGTCATATAAAAATCTAAAGAAAGTGATTCATTTTTAAATACTTTCCACTTTCCGGAAATTGGAAATAAATTAAATTCAATCCATTTCCACGCCCCGTAAAGTAAGAAATTTTCTTTTTTTTTTTTGCCTTTAAACAATTAAGTATGGTTAAACATTTTCCAATATAAATACATTTAATTTACCAACACTTTCCAAATCAGAGGAAACTACTTTCTGAAACTGGTTAAAAAACAAAATCGAACACCTTAACTACTAAACACTTTCTATCTTATAAACCTCATAAACCCATTTTATATATTTTTACAGGAGTTTTTTACAGAAGACTAAAATTGTTAGCTTTTATTATAAGGTGGAAATTTAGCACTTTTACTTATTGAGAATGCTGATAATAATTCATAACAATCTTATTGTAAAAACAATCTTTATTTATATTTTATCATATTTATTGAAGCAAACAGGATTTAGGAGTTATTTTTAACAGTATAATACTGCATTAGGAATTATTAAGTTTGTCCATACAAAAATGTAATAGGAAAAAAGAAAAATAAATGACAACCTAAAAGAATAAATCTTTACCAATATTGTTTTAGAAAAATTGAAAAATGCTTCAAGTATACAATATTTCTTGTGTTATTTTTTTTTATATATGGTAAATTATCGTAAACTCATAAAAACCCTTTGGTTAAGTCTTTTACAGTTGATATGCAATGGTGACAGATCTTCAAAAGATTTTAGAAATACGTCTTTCTTTAGTTTTTGCGATAGCACAGCCCACATACCAGGAAATCTTAACTTATTTTTAATTGTATCATTAGGTTGGAAGAGAACTGGATAAACAACTTTATTCCCTGAGCTTAAAATTTTTAAAGATAACACCCTACTAAACTTTTTAAATTTGTCAAATATTCAACGGTGTACAGTTTTTGATTTTTATGTGCAAACCTGTACACATATTTATTCATCCTGCATGGACTTTATACCTCTGCCTTTTATGTACCATTCAATTGTGGAAAGCAAGAATTAAAGAGTCCACAGGTCTTTGCATTTGCTTTTTTTCTAAATTTTTTTGTTTAATTGCAATATTATAGCGCATTAAAATATTGATGAGGCAATTACCCATTGTTGTATTCCTATTTTAATCCATTGTTGTTACCCATTGACCATATTTTGATCCGTGCGTTCATTACAAAAAATGATTGATTCTCTTTTCTGAATTTCATACGAAGGGAAAAGATGTGCAAGAGATGAATTTTGCAAAAATTGAAGTAAACTCTTCAGCATTTACTCCTCGCTCCTTTTCATTCTAAAAATTGAAATAAATGGCACACAAATTAGGATTTTTAAGGTTTGCAAACTATATTGTTCTATGGACTGGATTTATGTGTTTTTCATAATGATAATTTTGTAATTAATTAGGTGAGGAATTTTGTGTATTATATAATGGTTTAAAAAACTCATTTTTTTGTCAAACCCTGATTAAAGAGGTTTACAAGATAGACAGACTATATATATATATATATATATATATATATATATATATATATATATATATATATATATATATATATATATATATATATATATATATATATATATATATATATAACAAATTACTTAAAATGGCTTCTTTTTCTTTTGTAATTCAACCTTTAATGATTTTGATATTTTTAGAATTGCTTTTTAGATGTCACATTGCTCAAATTTATTATTGCACAAATAGATTTTTAAAACTGTTTACAATTATAAGAAATTATTTAAATTCTTAAATATTGTCTATTATTTTCATAATTTGTATTTTTTAGTTAAAAAACAAATTTTAACTATATTGTTATTGAAAATTAACCAGGAGAAAATAAATAAAAATAATACATGAAGTGTTTACATGTGCCAGAAAGGAGTGATGTTATTTCTTTGTTTGGAGGCATGTCTTGCATAGCAAAATTAATTTTCTCCCGAATTGATGATACATTTTCTTGCCACTTTAAGTTACAATGTCTTCTGTCTATGAGCCAATCTATAAAACATGTTACTAAAATTATACTATATAACACACTACACTCAAATTAAGGCAAAATATTTATCATGTTTGCAAAATTTTATTTGTTATATTAATGCTATTTAATGAAAATATATATGTATAAACAAAGTAATAATCAAATATTGCTCATAAAATTAAAACATTACTTCAATCAAAAAAAAAAAAAAAAAAAAAAATGTTATTCATAAAACTATTATTTAATTTTAAATTTAAGATGTGTTATAATATTTCAATTTAAATTTAAGATGTGTTATAATAATTCATTTTAGAGGCTAAAAGTCTTTTGGGGCACTCTTTTCTTAAGTTTTTGATGAAATTTATTAATTTCTTCCTTTGTAATTTCATTTCAGATCGATACTGAAATGAAAAAGACTATCTCTATCTGAAATGAAAAAGACTATCTCTATGTACTACAAAAATAATACTAGTCCATCTTTCTTTCATTATTTTATGCCATAAAGTAGATTGATAAAGTTTATAAACTAAAACTGTTTAAAACTTAAACATTAATCTCGAAACTTAAACATCAATTACATCATCAATTATCACGAAATGAAAATATTGGACTGGTACTGTTCTTCTCTTCACCGATTTTTTAAAATAAAAAGAATAACTTCATTATAAATAAATACTATTAGAAATGTATATATAAATTTACAAAATTTTTTATTGAATAATTATTAAAATGAAATTATTGAACATTTAAAAATATAATTCCTCTAAATGTTGCTAAAAAAAGTGAAAATTATTTTTAATGAGGTAAAAAACAAAATAAGTAAAAAAAAAAAGATTTTCTTTTTTTTGCATTACTAAATGTTTTGTATATAGGGTAAAACACCCAGTGTTCGCCAGGTGTTCCAGTCGTCGCCAGTTTTCCATTAAAAAACATGCATGTCAAAAACTATTTGGTTGAAAGTGCCAAAATAGTGTCTAGAATGAACGCCCATCATTGCTTTATATTTGACGAAAGTTTGACGATCGTAACTAAATAAATAAACTCTCAGGATTTTTTTGAATGAAAGTGTGTCACAAAAAAACCTTAACCCTTAAAATTTTTTTTCAGAAATCTTTTTAAACAATTACATAAAAAACATATTAAATATCAATTCAATTTCACTTTTTTTATTCCAGATTGATGGGAAGAACAAGGAGAAGATTGTACCAGGGCTATTCTTGGAAAAAAATTAAGGGGGGCAGGGTTAGGGGGGGTGGAGAAGACTGGAACACATAATAGTACCTAGTCCAGTCTTCGCCAGGTAAATTTTTTTTCTTTAAAGTGACGTATATGGGCTTAATGGTAAAATATGGACTTTGACCCATATGCCAGTCTTCGTTAGGTTGAATTTCGTTTAAAAACAAAAAAGTTATAGGCGTTTTAAATTTGTCCAGTGTTCGCCACCCCCCTTTTGCCAGTGTTCGCCATCGGGAACAAATTATTATTTTTTATTTTTTATTAAATGTATAAATATAGCTAAGTATTTATTTTTTATTTCAGAAGTAGGTTATCTGTTAACCTAGTTATTAAACAATACTAAAGCAGTCCAAATAGGGCTATATAACTATATTAAATTAATTTATATATCAAGTTAAGACTTATAATAAATAGTTTCAATAAGTACCTAGGTACATAATATCCATTTAGAATTATGAATACTAGTAAATCAAAGTCCAATAAGGGTTCACGTATGTCTACAAGAGATTCTTACACTGAGGAGGACATTAGAAAGGCAATTGAAGAAGTAAAAAGGTAATAAAATTAGCATGCATTAATAGACATAATTTCAATGCTTAAATTGCTTATTGTGTAGTCATAATAGCCTAATGCCTATAATACATTTAAAAGAAATACATAGGGTAGGGCTGCCTAGTACTGATAAAGTAGTTGCATACCTAAATTATACTGTGCTATATTTCAGTGGTGAAAGAACTGCTTCAGAGGCATCCAAGTTGTACAATATCCCGCGCACCACATTGAGGGACAAAATAAGTGGTAAAGCGCCTGTTGTAAAAAAGATGGGCTTACAAACCTACCTCACTGAAGCAGAAGAAAATGTTTTGGTGAATTTTATTGTTAGCGCACAGAAACGCGCCCACCCTGTTACCAAAGAAACCATTATGTCATTGGTAACTAGTCTTCTTTCGGATGAAAGGTTACTTATGGAAGTAAATAGAGACCGTCCCTTTCAATTTGGAAGATCAGGGACTCGACAGCCAGGGAATAAATGGTAAGTAGGTTGTGCCTAAGTTATAAAAGTTGACCTATAGGTAATTAAAATAAAAAAAAATGTTATAATTTTAATAACGAGTCATAAGATTTTTCATTACAAATTAACTTTATAAAACATTTGTAGCTTAATAAATAAAGCTTATAACAATTGATACAGACATAAAATTAGTCTAATAGAAATAGCCTATACTTAGTCGACTAATTTAGCCATTATTTTCTAAGGTATAAGCTATTCCTGTCATCCTAACATAGTTGCTCGCATGACTGAATCATTAAGTGCGAATAGAAGAAATGTCTCACAAGCTGTCATACAACAATGGTTTGCTGATATAAGATCGTACCTCTCTGAACATGACCTTCTTGAAATCCTTCAGGAACCCCAGCGTAACTATAACATCGACGAGTCGGGGTTCCAGTTTTCACCCAAGGTTTCCAAAGTTTTAGCTGCTAAGGGTTCTAAAAATGTACCGTATGCGACATCTTCAAAAGAAAAGGAAAGAATCACTGTTCTAGGTACATTTTCATTTTATTCTTTGCTCATTTTTATGTTATTTCTGTAATGCTTTTCTTTTAATGCTGCACTATAAATTGCTTTTTTTTCAACATATCTCTGAGCATGATAGCTTAGCATGATACTAGCTTGGCCTGCTTGCTAACTTTTGGTTTTTTTGCACTTTTCTTTGCAGCTAACGTTGGTGCCGATGGCTCTCTCCCTCCACCGCTTATAATTTATCCTAACCTTTGTATTCCTATGAATGTATACGAAGCCATTCCACCCAGTTTATTTGCAATCGGAAAGAGTGAATCGGGATATATTAACCATCAGGTGCTTTATGAGTATCTCACTAATGCATTTGACCAATGGTTAATTCAACATAATATACAAAGACCAGTTATAGTTTGGTCCGACAAACATGAATCGAGGCTGCAATTTCATTTAGTTAAAACCTTAGCAGACCTGCAAATAATGCTTATATTGATCCCACCAAACTGTACCCATTTCATGCAGCCTTTGGACATAGGATTGTTTGGCTCTATGAAAAATGAATGGGCTAAGTGTGTGAATAGGTTCAGGGCTGCCAACCCAAATGAATACGTTACCAAAGAGTCCTTTGCAGGAATGTTCCTGCCAGTGTACACAAGGGTCATGAGTAGAGAGAAAATAGTAAAATCCTTTAAAAAATGTGGCATACAGCCATTTGATCAAGACGCTCCTGATTATACCAAGCTCACTCTTGAAGAAGCCCACTCCGGAGACAGTCGAATATTTGAAAGAGTGCTTCAAGATGGTCGTGTTGAAGCTTCCACTCAAGTTGAAAATTTTTTTCATGTCAATGTTGCGACACAGACATCCTCTGACATCATCTTGTCTGGTAACACAAGTACTAGCACGATGGAAGGACTGGGAGCAGGCCCAAACATTCACCTGTAAGTGATAGCTAGGTATTAGTGTCTAACATTTGTATCAATATAAAATAATAAGCCCAGCTAGCTAGTTAGTAGCTATTATAAACCAATTTTTATTTATAGCTATTACAGGGTAATAAAAGTTAGTAACAATTACAAACTAATTTTTATCTATATTACAGGGTAATAAAAGTTAGTAACTATTATAAAACAATTCTTATTTATATTACAGGATAACAAAATCATTTGATGACTTTGTCATCGATTCGCCACGATTTGATTCACTCAGAATGGTGAAGAGGCAAAATTGGTTCCAATATGTCTTTGATCGAAATCATCTGCAAGAGGATGCACCAGCTGTTGATTCCCTTGTTGTTTCCCCTGTTCATTCACCTAGTATTCATTCTAGTTCAAATGCACAGTGTTCCTCAATGTCAGCCCCTCCAAACAGGACTAGGCCTATGTTGGTAGAACCTCAAAGACAAGCAAGACCACCTGCGATTAGTCCTGCTCTTAAAAATCATAAGTGGTTCCCTTCTCCAAAAAAAGCTATTGGTTAGTGTATTAACTAGGCTACCTATATTTTAAATTTATTATTATAATTTCCATTTTTAATCTCTGTAAAATTACCACATGTAGCCTATGGTCATAAATTTACTTTATTATAACCTGATTATTATTTTAATTTTCATAGGAAAGGTTTGTACAGTGGCTCAAGAACTTCATGCCACATCTGTAGTGACTTCAGATAAAGTTGTCTCGATGCTAGAAGGTATTAGGCTTGAAAAAAAACAACAAGAACAAGCAAAAGAGGAGAGAAAAACGAAGCGCTTAGTTGCTGAATTAGCTAAACGCAACAAGCCAAGTGTTCCAGCTAAAAGAAAGTTGCTGCCAGCAACAAAAATGGCAAAGAAGAAAACAAAAAAATTTTCCATTACATAAAAAAATTATTCAACAATTATTTAAATATATTTTTAATACCAAATAACTAAAAAAAAGAACTCATTTTTTAAAAAGTCTGAGGGTGGCGAACACTGGAACAGGTTCAAAAAATTGCCTGGCGAACACGGGGACCGTTCCAGTGTCCGCCACTTTCAACTTTCGGTGGCTATAGCCCCCTTATTAATTATCGGAGGTCATTCGTTCTAAGTACAGCGTATAGCCCAACTATCCATCTGTACGATAAATATTTAAGATCAATCATTTATTGAAAAACGAGTGAGAAAAAAATATTTTAGTGGGGCAGGGTAGAAAAAAGTGGCAAATACTGGGTGTTTTACCCTACGTATGTATTTTCTTGATATATAAATCTATATAGATGTATATATTTATATAGTAAAAA